CGTGGATAATGGGCCTGCATCCTTATTGTTATTATGCATTAGGGCCTGACTATGTAAATGCAATTCAATAAGTCCAGGGAGGATACGGAAAGAGAATAAAAAGGAAAAAAGTAGAAGGCGGACAACAACAGCCGCAAACTTTACCGTTTCTTCTGAATCACAGCAGACAATGCACGCTTCCTTTTCGAATCTAATTCCTTAATTCTTTACCGATGAGATCTTCGAACGCGACATTGTGTTCGACCAAATCGACCAGGTTGATCTGCAAAACTTTACATTTCAAACATTTGTTTAACGATAAGAAGATAATCACTTATGACAATTGTATTCTATATTCTTTGACGTAGTTCTTGATAATCGTGACTTTGTTTCATGCACATTCGAATAATTTTATTATGTTAATAATATTTACTTATTCTGATATATAACATCTAGTTCTAACTTTTCGTTATATTTCTCTAAAAATCTGCGTATTTTCAATATAAAAAACTGTGTCAACTCTAGGCTAACAATTAATAATTAATTTATAGAAGAAGACAAAAAATAAATATATTCATATTGAAAAAGTATCAACAATTTTGGTATTCATTAAAAATATAATACTCATAAATAATAACTATATTAATTAGTGTATTCATTTGACAATTATTCAACATATACTTTGGTTTTTCATATGATGGTATTCAATAGTTAACTTTAATAAAAATTATAATGTAATAATTTAATGATATATGAAATATGATATGAATATTTAAGAATACACAATATTATGAATACACTAAGTATTTCATTATTTAAGTACACATAAATTACATTTAGACTAAATATTGAAAAGTTGGTTATATATTCTAATGAACTAAATTATCAAAATATACAAAATTGTTGCTTCAATAGAAGTTCTTAAAATATTAGAGACGTGATGAAGGACTCTTTGAATGTTCGCATCGTAACGCTTATGGCAATTTGCCGAGCTCTAGCAACAATAGCTACAATCTGCATGCATCAAAATCAATTAGGCGAGTAACTCTTAATGCATAGACTGCATGCCTAGTTATCAAGTAAGTGTTGCGAATGCGGGGGCGTTCAACTGATTCCAACTGAAACGTCTCAGTCCAAGCGCTCTCTCGAGAAAGGAACGAACGAACGAAAACAACAACAAAAAAGCATTTGAACTATTGCACTTATAATACCGTATGCAGATATTCTAATTACACGGCTGCATCGATAATTTCCTGAACCCACGGGGCGATTTTAATATTGTCTCGGTTCGCATGTAGGTGAATGCTTCTAGCGAGGCGGAGGATGAAGGGAATTGTGCGCTAGAAGAGAGTAGGAAGACGAAGAAAGGGACACCGAGGGAGGATGAGGAGGAGGTGGAGTAATCGCAACACACATATCTGATTCCGTCGGCAGATTGCGTAATCGGTTCGGTCGTGTTTTATTCGTGCGGTAACGAGCGGACGGAATGTGTGCAATAGTGCAGACCTCTTCCCCGGTGCAAAAGAGCCACTCTTCGTCGTCGTCGTCGTCTCCAGAGGCCGCAATTTATTTGTCGCACCGACGAATTTATTGCGCCCATTCTAAATAGGAAACCGACCGGTCTCCGCGCATCATCAATTCCGACCGTCCACAACCAACCATTCCTCTTCATCGCCATCGCGAACGTCCTCCTCTGCTCTGCTCTTCGCGCACGCATTCATCACTTTTCCAATTCGGACCATTAACATTCCCCCATCTAATTAAGTACAAGCTTGCACGAGTTATGCACGAGAATTGCAAGGATTGTTTTATCCGAATTTGATTCATCTTCCATTCATCATCTCGTGGTTGTTTGCGCAAAAGCCTTCGTTTCTGCGCTCGGAACCTATCAGTTAACCTTTTTTCCGCCGTCGCGTCTTTTAAATCTGCGTAGGAAGATAATGGCGATGTACGCGTTTCGTTGGAGTGGAAATGTGAGAGTTCCATCCATTCCCAGAGCACTTTCTACTTCGACTTAAATCCTTGGAGGGAAAGGAAAGTCTCAGGAAGAGGCGATCGATTAAAGTCCGTCGAGGCTAATTGGGATGCACTTCTTCCCTGTTTTCCCCAGAAAGGGGAAGGCGAGTGCATAGTTTCGTAGATAATCTTTCGGACTGCCGCCGGCGACAATTAGAGACGACTTCCTCCTTTTTCAAGGAATCTAAATTCTTCTTGGCTAGAAAGGAAAATCGAGCGCCCGCAGTCGTTGTTCTCTTTCTTTGTCTCCTTCTTTCTATCCATATGTCGCGCGATATAAGGTGAAAACCGAGCGCCCAAATGCGTCGGACCATGACCAGGCATACTTTTACCATAATCTATGGCATATTCTCCCCTCCCGTCGCAGCTATTTATTTTGAAATCGAATCGTTGATACGTTTTGTGGTAGCTGCAACAACGTAAATTTTGGTAAATTAAGGTCGTCTCGAAGGTAAATTGCTGGTCGATATAGATTTCTTCTTGGACACATTGAGGAAGGAAAATATACGAACTTGACACAGATTTCTCACCGAAAGATCTTGAAGGCACACACACACAGAAGAGATCAATAAGAAGACCGAGATGTGGAGAAAGTCTCCACCAAACGAGTTTGTTGTTGTTGCTTTTTTTCTCTCTCTCATTCACACTATTGCACACACCACGTCTCTCTTAAGCTTCATACAAATTTGTATCGTTCTACAACTAAGTAGTCTGCTGGACGCGGCAGTCTCTAGGTGTGGCTCAACATTGAAAAGCGGTTTCCAATGGTAAACACTTGTTAAAGAAGTGTATTAGTATCCTAGAGTATTTCATTGCTCGTTACAAAATGTCGCCGCTCGTAATATTCACGTTGTATGTGGGTCAGTCGGGATGGGATGTTTAAAACAAAAAACATCGAGAAAATTATACATTGCAGATCTAGATTACTATATATGAATAAATATCAAATAGTATAAATATAATTGCTTCGTAAATACTAAAACTGCGCAATCGTTTTTCATACTTCCCTATTATTCTCAAAAATATTTAAATTTATATAATAATATGAAACTTTCTCGACATTAATTAGTTATTTAGAAATTATTTTTATATACTTTTCTGATTAATTCATTTAGTATATCATATATAAATGTTACCTCGTTCTATTAGAATCTATAAAATTATATTTTATGAATATATAATTATGTATACTATACACAAATTACGAAATGAAAATACGCAAACAATACGCAAATTATTATTATGTTTAAATTCATAGATGTTAGAAACAAATGCAAAACGTGCAGATGGTGAACTTATAATAACATGTGAAAATGTCAGCTGAAATATTTCATAAGTCTATTTTCTTTCACACTTACAAATTTATTGAACTAAAATGACTTGTTATCCTGAATTGCGTTCAAGTTTCATTAAATCAAAATAAAATGTGATAGAAATAGGTTTTCATTATTGATACATTTTTTATATTAAAGTAATATAAAAAATAATAACTGATTGCGAATGTGGTCAATACAGCTGTAAATAATTGCGACGCATTGATTAACATTTATGCCCGTATCACCTTGATTATGTAAGATTGGCTATTCCTGTATTGGAATTTTAATAGTGTTATGCAACCAAACAAGCGTATTTACTCCTGAGGTTCGTAATAAGTTTCTATATTCACCTTTTTTATTCTCGTATATATTTCATAAAATACAAATATTAGTAGAGAAGTCCGTTCGCGCAATTTAAAGCCCATGAAAAAGCGTTCTGATGAAATTACTAAAGGCCAAAGCGTCTGGGAGTGGTCGCAATTGGCATTGAGCGGCGATCAAATTTCTTCAGAATTACCTGCGAGCCGTGATCGTTGTTCTTTCTTCTTTCGTTAGAAATGCGATAATAGCGAGTTGGATAGATACAATGGTGGAGGCGATTTGACTACGTTCGTAGGAGATCTGCTGCAGTGCTCATCATCATCTCATTTTTCCGATCCATAAACGGCGCTAAAATTCTGTTTGTCGCGTTGCTGCTCATTGAAAGTTTAACAAACTCTTTCGCAACAGTTCTCGCATACTTTAGGTATGCATCGCGCGCCTTTGCACATACGCGCGCGCGAACGTTCGCCTATGATGTAACCCACCTGTGCATTCGCAAGCTTATCTCCTACACTTTTCTGGTCCTGCTCTATATATCATTGCTTGAGACTCGTTTCGCAATTACACGGGAAAAAGGAAGGAAAGCGCGTTTCAAGGCTCCTTATTTTTAGTTACATTTAAATAAACTTGGTATCGATCATTTACGGTGAGGACAGTAAACAAATCTGCAACACAAATCATCTAGTCATGCAGATTTAGCTACAAAACAGTTCGATTCCATCAATTTCTCCATTTTTTTTATTATCTATAAATTATCCATGAGATTCTAATAATCAAATTCAACATCGTCTAATAAATTATGATGTATATCTAGAGTTGAAGTCATTGTTATACGAATTACTAGATAATTATATTGGTATAATTTATATTTCATTAAGTTTTTATTGTATTCAATCTATTAATCAAAGTATCATTTTATGTTATTAATTCTCAAAAAAGAAAGTCTTCATGTATCAAATTAATTACGGTATATTAAGCAATACATTTTCTAAACAATATAATTGTTATATTTTGAACTATTATATTATCAATTACGACTTAAAATTTCGAATAATGAAAATATTTTATTTTGCACATCTATTACATGTAAAATTACAATATACAAAAGGGAAATAAACTGTTTTTATTGAAGACTTGGCGATAAAATGCCGTATGCCTAACTGGCTGTTACGTAATTGTACTCGGGTTATAATAGCCGAACAATTAAATGTGCATGGACGATATAGATTTAATAGGTATGAAGGTGTTAATTGCGATGGCACGTAACTGTGCATCTTTATGGAGCTCGAAGACATTATTCTTCTTTCAATTAAAAAAAGCACTTATCTAGGAATAGTGACATCTAATCGGGATGTATTTATTTTCCAGTTACAACGCCTGCTCCGCCGCAGAGGCCATGGATTCCTCTAACTAGGCCCACCAGAGACCATCCCACCTGTAAGTATTGACGCTTGTTGCCCAATAAAAGCAACAGCTATATTTCTATATGTATGTGATGGAGAGAGAAAGAGTGAGAAAGGTTGGTTTGCGATAAAATGTCTTAGAATGTCACAACGACCGTAATAACTACAATAACAACAACACCCATGCTGCGCCCATTCTACGTGAGCAGCCACCAAAACCATATCAGCATTCCTGTTCCCTTCGCGCCGTCGATTAACCAACATTGCATTAATACGTGAATCGGTACAGCCGAATAAACGTTCTTATGGGTTTTTTAAACCCATCGCCTGGAAATTCTTTCAACAAATCTGTATATGGTCTCAGTTTCTAAACCGTCGTACAGTGATGAAAGCGAGTCGATTAAATTGGAAAGTATTCGACATGTCTTGAGCGAGTATTGATTGCATTCCGATCGGGTGTAATTGGTTTTGCCGGCCCGAAGGAAGGATGTCTGATAGAAGACGTCCACGAAGGTCGTATAACGATCTCCGGGACCATCGAAAATATATAGGCGGATGATCAGATTAATTAAATTACTAATTTTAACTTTAGGTCTGTTCACGGTGATGTGCTACAACGTGCTCTGCGACAAGTACGCCACCCGACAGATGTACAGCTACTGCCCAAGTTGGGCGCTTAGTTGGGATTACCGGAAGAAGGGTATCATGGACGAGATCCGGCACTATGCGGCAGATATCATCAACCTGCAGGAGGTGGAGATGGATCAGTTCTACAACTACTTCCTGCCGGAGCTCAAAAACGAGGGCTACGCGGGCATTTACTCGCCGAAGTCACGAGCCAAAACCATGGCTGAGAACGAGCGGAAATACGTCGATGGATGCGCAATATTCTATAGAGTGTCAAAGTATATATGATCCCTTTTAGCGTTAATTTCACTTTAATTAATTATAAAATCGAATCTTTCAGGTTTACGCTGATAAAGGAGCACCTGGTTGAGTTCAATCAGTTGGCGATGGCCAATGCCGACGGGCTGGAACACATGCTCAATAGGGTCATGCCCAAGGACAACATTGGTTTGGCCGCCCTTTTGCAAACAACGGAAGCCGCGTGGGAAAATGGTATGAAATCCTCTAAAAACAATGCAAATCAACATTACTAACACGATAATCTGTTTTTTTTAGTTCCGGACAATATGACCATGCCTGCTCAACCTGTGCTGGTGTGTACCGCGCACATCCATTGGGATCCAGAGTTTTGCGACGTAAAGCTCATCCAGACGATGATGTTGAGTAGTGAATTACGTTCTATTTTAGAGGAGTCGGCGCACACGTTGCGGGTCGCCAATGAAAACATGAATTTGGATGCGAGTAGCATTCAGCTTGTTCTGAGTGGCGATTTCAATTCCTTGCCGGAATCTGGTGTCATCGAATTTCTAAACAGGGGCCAAGTCTCACAGGACCATAAGGACTTTAAAGACTTTAGTTACAAATCGTGTCTAGAGAAGATATCCGGCTGTGATAAACCCAACGAGTTCACACATTCCTTCAAGCTAGCGTCCGCATATAGTGCCGATATTATGCCCTACACCAATTACACATTTGATTTTAAAGTAAGTATAAATTATCACTCTTAACACCATACAATCTGCAAACAAACCTACTTACACCTGGCGCATCCATTTTTTTAAAACTTAAAATATGTTAATATATTCATACATATGTAATATGCAAAAGAAAACTTCATAGACAATACAACTTTATGTATTTCACCAAGTAATAAAATTTCTTAATAACACAATTTTTATATTGAAAATAGTATTGTTTGTGCTCTGAAGTAATTTGCAATTATCTTCTAATTAATATTTAAACAAAAAAAAATATAAAAACAAAAATAATTAAGGGTTACATAATTGTGTTTCAGGGTATAATAGATTACATATTTTATTCGAAACAAACGATGACGCCGTTAGGTTTGTTGGGTCCACACAACGCGGATTGGTTGCGGGATAGCAAGATTGCAGGATGCCCACACCCCCATATATACTCCGATCACTTTCCGCTCCTGGTCGAGCTGGAGATGGAGTCGACGGTGGGACCCCCGCAACAGCAGCAGATAAACGGAATCATAAGCCATAGGTAAGACAGATCCTTCCCAAGTCGTAGCCCCGCAATCCTGACTTGACCCTCCACCCTCCGGAACAACAACATACTTATAATTAATTACGCAGTAACCGGCTCCGCAGGTAGCGACCGATTATGACCTATGACGACGATGACGACTACACGACTACTACCAACAACAACAATAGCAATTAGCCATTGTCGCCTTGCTGTCTTGTACCTGGCCCCATCGAGAAGAAGAAAACAAACAAAAAACATGATAAATGTAATACTAAGTAACATCTGCGACGACGACGACAGATCAATACTTCAATTCAATCAGTCCGAAATCACTTCAGTTTCTTTTATGAGTTTATATGTATATCCAAAATTAATTATCTTCATTATTATCACACCATACAATTTTGGCTCACGTGGTACCTGACATATTGATGATGATCCCATTACAATGAAAACAAAGCAAACAAACAAACAAAAAATAATAATACTAATAACCAGAACACATTATAATAATAAGAAGACTAATTATTAAGACGAATTTGGTGAAGAAGGATAAGAAGTTAAGAGGACGAAGATAAGAGAATTAAAAGCATGGAGAACCTCACAGACACAAAACAATTACTTAAGAAAAAGTTGAATTAAAAATAAAAATAATAACAAACAAAACTAACAAATAGACTTTCCTGCCGGTATTAAGCTATGCGCACACAAATTATATAAGGAAAAGAGTTATGTACAGTTACTTTGAATACGATGAACCCGAAAGTACGACAGACGCGTTATTTTTGTAAAAAAAGAAGAGATGCAATCCAGATGATAAAAAAAATAATATATATATATAGAATAATACGGACTACTATCGTGTCTACATTCGCAGAGTATTTAAATGAAATTAATTGAATAAATGAATGATCGAAGGGGGATAACGAACGGGCGTTTGGAGCGCCGCGATTAGATACAAAAAAAAACAAATATGGACAAAAGAGAGAGGAAACTAAATGAAGAAGTATTATATAAATATATCAAGTGCAAGAATATTTTAATAAGAAACTGTTTAAATAATTACAAAAAAAAATTATAAAAAAATTATAAATATAAAGCAATGCGAATATTGTGTATATATATAGGAGATATGTATATGAGAAGAATGGCATGCATCATCATAATCATCAGACAAAACAAAACTTTTCGTTTCCCTCATCTTCAATCTCTCTCTCGCACCTTGTTTTTACATGACATATGCATATATAAATATTATTGTTAATTAGGTTTCTGTTGTGTATATTGTTCCGTGTTGGTGTCAACGTTTCGAGGGAACGGTGTCATTTTGGATCATCGTCTCAAGACTACGAAATTAAGGAATCGATCCATCGGCATACAAAAGAAACAAAAGAACTGCGCCGTTCCTTCGCACCATCTTGTACCTTTTACTTCTTTGTATACATATATAATTAGCGATTATTTTAGCGAATTGACGAGGAATATTTATTAAAGCCATTCGAGGAGAATACTTCTTACTATATTAATTTTATTTTTGTTTCTCGATTTGTAATAATATTATAACTATATAAATAATGTGTATATTGTTTAATTAGCGCGTATATAAATATGTACATAAGGGTATAATCACTTACGACCTGGATAGATCGATTTATTATTTTCTATTTTTTTTTTCGTTTTAGTTTATTATTTTTATTCGCTTGCGTCCCGTAACTTAATTTTAATTGTTACTTTGCGTGCGTTTGCCTTCGTTTGTAATTAATTTCGTTCGATTCACGTGATAATTTGTGATAGATTCTCTTCCCGGTTGCGTTTTAATAAATGTTTCGAACTCGAGTCTTAATCTCTGTAAAGCGATTATATTATAATATATATACATATTTGTTAGTATCCGCTCTCTCACCTCTACATTATTTATATATATATATATATGCATATACATATGTATGTTTATTTTTCTGTACATTTACTTTTAATTCGTGCGCATATCTGAGTTTTTTTTTGTTTGTCTTTTAGTTTGTATAATTTGTGCAAAAAGAAACCTAAGATTCGAGTCATTTGTAGCATAAACATTTGTAAATTAGTTTTATTTCTGCTGTTAGTATCATCATCATACTTGTTGTTTTTAACTGCGGTGAGGTTTCACTTCGAGACTCTAGGTAAACAAATTTCCGACTTCGCATAGCAAAATACTCAGTTTTAATTATGTTTAACCCCATTCGCAGTGTAGGCGATGAACGAACGTTGCTGCTTTTTTTTTAATTTTATTTCATCCATTTACATGTTATTATCTTTTATTATTATACTCTTTTTTTTCTTTCAATGGCATATTGTATGTGCGTAATGATTAAAAGGAAAAGAACAAAAATGCAATTTAATCAACTTTTTTAATTTCCAATCTTTCTTCTACTTAGATTTTCGTATTTCTACAAATAGTCTTTATATTTGCAGATAATTTTCGTTTTCAGTTTTTAACTTATTCGTTTCGTTCTTTCAGTCTTTGCTTCGCTTATCCGTGTGTGTGTATGTATGCATGTGTGAATGCGTTTTATGTTGCAACAAAAAGTCCTTCTCGTGTGCATGCGAATGATGGCCTAAAGGGAATCGATTTCACCGTTTCAACAATGTTTGTCTGTGTTTTCCGCTCCACCCGCTCCAAATCAAGAGTAATACAATATGGAACAACGATTATCGGTTTAGTTAATGTTAGGTACTTAAAAAAGAGGGGAAGAGGGAATGTGCGAAAATAAAAATATCTCAAGTTTAGAACCCTAGACGCTTCCTCATTTTTTCGACAAAATTCTGCGCAATACGTCGCGAGGCAGGGATTCAATATTCACAGTTTCTTACCTTTTTATGTCGATTTTAGGGATGGTGTTGTGTTGTTTAGTTATTAATTGTTTATTAAGATCTCATATGTTTCCTTTGTAAGTTTTATCCCACTTTTATCAATCTTTTTGGACAAGCCGGAAGCCCATCCACTCTAATCGGATTGAAACCTGTGTTTTCGGGTCCATTCGAGCCGATGGTCGTCCTGGCCCTATTTTATTATTACATTTTTGTTTCAGTAGTGCTTGTTATGGTAACGGACAATGGTTTTTATTTTCACTTATTAATATTTTTTTTATTATACAATAATTAAGTTAATTGTAGATGTTCTACAGATATTTATGTACCATAGGATGAGAAAAAATACAGAAATAAAAAAATTAAGAATAAATTCATTGCATTGTATATATATAACCATTATCATCATTACTCGTCGGGCGCGCTCTTGTTGCTCAGCGTGATCTTGAACTCAGGAAAGTCTCTGTTATCCTTTTGGAAATGGTGCACGCGAACCTCGCGTCGCATCTCCGAGTGAGTCATCGAGGCCAGAAGATCTGCATTGCAAGACCTGTTAGAGAACACCTGGGGCTTTCCGGCACGGCCGCGCCAAAGCACCGTCAGCGCCTCCTTCTTGCTCGTTCGGAAATTCATATACGTGACGACGATCTTCTTGTCTCTCGCGGTCTTCAGGTAGAATATATCCGATAGCTTCATACCCTCCACGTTCTTCCGCGCGTTTGCCGCAGCGGCGCACGCTCCCACCCTGGGCACCTTCGTGAAGATTTGCCGAGATTTTTTCCCCGTCGAATTCATAATAACGAAGTTCTTTGCAGAAACACTAAAACTTGGCAAATAGATAAGAACTAATGAGCTAGATTATTTACTATTTTATAAACTCCTCATTGAAGAATTGAAAAATCATTTTTTAATTCATCTTTCACTGAAATTCCATACTTCCTATATACACTCATTCCTAATGAATGAAGATAGATTTCTGATGAATCCGTTTAAAAAAAGTCGAAAATATATACACTGAATTCTTGACATTGAAATGAAATAATCATGTTTAAGAAAAGTGTTTTGCAATTAAAGCCCTTTTTTATTAAAGTCTTTTCGCCATAATCACTATAATAAATATAACTGAAAGTCTTACAAAAATAAGAATTGTTAAGTACTTAGCAATAATCAGATCATTATTAGCAGCCATTTATTAATCGCACGTAAGTATTTGATGGTTTGATGCTATTAAAGACGTACACGTATCACTCGTTTTACATGGTACTCGATTTATATGGTACTTCATTTACATATCATACATAATCAAGTTCCTTGAATATCAATATTAAGTGAAAGATAAAAATTAAATCCTTTGAAGTCCCAGAAATTGCAGAATCAACAAATTTCTAATTAACTGAAACAAACAACTTCGTCAACTGAATCAACATCGGATGGTATGGTCTATAAAATCCTTTTAATTCATTAATTCATTATTTGACATATCAACAAAATTAAAGTGTAATTCCTCTTTCCTGGACATTTTTTTTTAAATTATAATAATGCCCACTAGGCATGTTCGTAAGGCCCTCAAACATTTAAAATTATCTAATTATAATTTATAAAATATCATTTAAACAATAATATGTGTGTCTCTTCTTTCTAACATGGGGGCTTTTGCTTCCCTTAATAAATTTAGCCTGTTTCGATCTGATAATGTTATTCCAGCCTCGGACTGTGTACATTTTATAAATTACAAATCGAGCCGGGGCTCTACTGGGCACCGCCAACTCTAATGCTTGGTTTAAACAAATTAAATATTTGATTATGATATAGGCAACTCGATAAACATTGCTTCGGTACAACGTCATTACTATATACAACATCAACGTGTTACAGGAATTGACAGATGATCGAAGGTAGGCAACCATTTAATTGTTTGGAATCAGATTTTTGTTATGATTGGAGTGGGAATGCCAATGTTGTGAACGTCATCAAGTGTGTGTGCGGGTTTGTTGGTTACTCACTAATGTGCTTATCCGGCTTCGTTCGCAAGGTAAACTGCGTGCTAATAGAAGCGAGATGTTAACGACCGACGATTTTGATGATGGCTACCTCTTCAAATGTTCACCGGATTCATCCACCAACGACTCCTTCATGACAGGTAATGCTGAATTTAATGTACTACGTTTCTTTGCTTACATCGAAAACGAAAAAAAAAAGAACAAAAAATATCTACAACATATCAAATTGCGTAGATTATCTGGGCTCCGACGAGGACTTCCTGCAGCAATTATCCTCAGGCCTGGACATTCCGCTGTTACTCAACCCCAACGATGATGAGTTAGGCGTCCTAAACTCGTTCTTGGATAAGAGTCCCGATGAAATCCTATCCGAAATCACATCGCCGGTGCCGCACTCGGACTATCCCGATTCGGAGATCCAATGGACGGCCAATGTCATGCCGATCGTGAAAACGGAGTACGAGACTTGCGATGAATTCTACAATTCGGATTCGGTGCAGTCAGGGTCGCCGACCCCGTCCCATTCTAGCGATGGATCTAATGGCAAAACGGATATCAAGGACGAAATTTTCATCGATACGCCCCCCATCTCACCTAACGACGGGCAGCAGAACGTGGCGCAGCCGTTGCACATCAACCTGGTGCAGAAACTGCAGCCACACCAGTCCAGGCACCAGCGGCTCCAGCAGAAGCTTCCCTATACAATACCTACAAAGCACAAGAAGAAACTATTCGTCGTATCTCAGAACGAAACGCCCACGCACATGGTCAAGAACAAGAACAGCAACATAGTAATATTTGAAAACCTGCGAGCTGTGCCGGTTAATAGACTACCAACAATTCAACCTATTTCCAACGTGCCAGTCGTTGTAAAGAGCGAACCGATTCTCAAAATTCGACCGGATATTGATCCTAAAGCGCTGAAACGGCAGCAGCGAATGATCAAGAATCGCGAATCCGCAAACTTGTCCCGCAAAAAGAAGAAAGAATATCTGACTTCGTTGGAGAAGCAAGTGCAGGACTTGACTGCAGAAAATGAACAGCTCAAAAGGGTAAATAACAAATTGCATTAACTAATTGACGACTATGAGTAACGATATAAATATTTTAGGAAAATTCCCAGCTCAAGCAGAGACTTTCAGGATTGGGTGGATGCAAAATAATGGTGAATGGTATTCATAACAAGACTGCTACCAAGGGGATGGTTCTCTGTATTTTTTTGTTTGGACTTGCAGTGAATACAAGCGTATTTAGGTAAATATAACGTAACATACCATACTTGCTGTTTTAATGCAAGTCTGGTTGGTCTAATCTATTTCTAGAATGCATATACATAACATAGATTAGACTATTCGATATTTATTGCAATTCAAGATAACGTAAACAACAATTGTAACTTGACCTTGGAACAAGTAACGGTATAGTTGCTACTCGGTTATCAGCCGAATTTTGATAATTTTATAATTTATTCGAATTCAGCGGAAACACGAAATCGCAAATTTATGTTTATAACAGTCATTCGAAAATAGAAAGCTTTGATTCCCCTAATTATCGTTCTTCCATAGAAATCCGTTCAATAACAATGACTCACTTCCCTCGGACTTGGACAATCAAGTGCCTTCAATTTTACACCAGAATGGAAGACACCTGCTGTGGCAGGAGGAAGAAATCGTGGAAGCGCCACCGAATGTGACGACGAAGACGTTGCCATTGCCGATGTGTCCGATGCTCGTGAACCAAACGGAGAGTGTACGATTAGCGCTGGAATTGCACAGGTATCATTAGTAAGATCACATTAGTGTACATAAGATGCTGAGTCATAGTTTTCAGGTGGATCGGTAAACCGTACAACGTATCCGAGGATTTCATGGTTTCGCCGCCGAGGCCAAAAATAAGGACCATAAGGTCTAGGATCAAGAAACGCGCAAAGAGCAAGCTGAATAACATTGATGAACCTGTGTTATCCTCGGTGTACAGACTGGGGAGGCGCACTAGGAGGATACAACCTATCACCGAGAACGAGCTTCAAGTCTTCGATCCGACACCGGAACAACTTTACTCGGAATTCTTTGAGGCCATAAACCGCAGGGATGATACCTTCTATGTGGTCTCCTTCAGTGCAGATCACATGCTACTGCCCGCACTCCACCATAACAAAACGCGCCGCCCCAAGATGTCATTGATACTGCCATCCATGTTACCTAATGGTGCGTATACTCGAAACATTACACGAAACACTCCTTATAATCCAACGTTATTATAGATTCCTCGTCGACGAAGTCCGTGGTTTCGCTGATGCAAATCGACTGTGAGGTGCTGGACACCCGGATGATCCATATAAAGCAGGGCTCGATACCTCAGAACTTCCGTAACCAAACTGCGTCGCCTACCACCCACGGTCCGGTACCGGAACCCGCGAGACACAACGTCACAAGTGAACCGCCCGCCGACCACTTCCGGCCTTATTTCTTACGTAAAGGCAAGAACAGTATAGGTGGCGCCGAACGCGGTTGAATTTTGCCATTAACCAAATAGGTAAACTTATATTAAGTAATTGATTGTTTTAAACTAATCAACAATTAGTCGGATGCGTGCGTCCGAATATTTTTAAATCGATTAAGGTTCACTTTTTTTGATTCAATGCATCAATGAGAATTTACATTATTTTTTTAATATCAATTAATTTGAAAAAAAAATATAAAAAGCAAAAAAAAACATCACCAGTTTTTTTGGTGCATGGATTAAATATTTAAAAAAAAAACGCTCAACAAATATAATTTTGTTTCACGTAAAGCCGGCTACTTGCTACGCTGTACTTGCCAAGTAACATGTACAAATACAATCACATATTGTGATTGTCTTCTGACAAAGTAGCCAGCATAAGGAAGATCTTTGAAATTTGACTGACTTCAGATATATAAGCGTTTTAAATGTAACTAGTAGATTTTCATACAACTTAGATTAAGGAACAGCATCCGAACGTTTGCAAAACGCGTGATACAAACACTTCAGTTCGAAAACAAAGTATTAATTTCCAGTTCTGCTTTAGTCTTTTAAATAACAAATTTTATATATTTATAGATTCTATTCTTTAGGTGATGTTACGTAATTAATTTAAGTATTTGTTATTAACTTAAAAATTTATGGACTTAAAAAATGAAACATTCACAGCATGTTATTTGATCGTTGCCCGTATCTCGATTGTAGGTTGGGAGTAGTGGGCGTATTGACGGTCCCCACTTGCATAATTGATGAAGGGTGGTGCATTAGGTTGATTGACTTGGGTAATCATTTTCAGATCTCTGAAGGAAAGGCAGTTGTATATACTGTCACCACATACACCATTATATTCTTTTATTAATTAACCAACTGTATAACATTGATAATTTCTTATTTCGTGTTTGTTTGTATATATATTTCTGCATATATAAAATGATTGACCGTGTAATGTCAGTGTAGTTGCTGTGATATGAATAAATATAATAAGCAAATGATGCGTTTCAACCATGACATAAAAAAACTGCAAAAACTTCGAGAACAAAGCTCATTTCAGGTCTGGAGTGCTGGAGCCCAGGTAGCACTTGAGATCCGCCAGATTCGACTTGACCAGTTTAACCTGGATGGTCGGCAGGTTTAGCTTCTTGTGGGCAGCGTATCGATGGCAGCCGCCGAAGCTGTAGTAGTAGTCGCCGCCTTCTCGACCCTCGATCCACAGCACGTCTATGGGTGGCACCAGGTCCCTCGTCTTCGGGTCGGACAACGTCTTCATCAGTGACTCCAGTTTGACTTCATCTATGACCGGCTGCAACGGCCTGATCAGAGCTGACATCGGCATTTCGTGTACTTCGCTTATACATGCTGAATGTATGCTGGTCATGGTGTGCCCTGCAACGGTCGTCCAAATCGCGACTCACCGACAATTAAATAAACAAGATAATTGTGCAAGTGGCTTACTCAGTGGGAAAATGAATCGCAACGTCAGCATAGGTTGTTTACGAGCTGGAGACTAGAGTAATACTGAGCGACCTCCGGAGCGACGCGCGCTCTCCATTTCATTTCGATTTCACAACTCGGTACCGAGTTGCAATAACAGTAATAATATGCAGCCAACGCGCATAAAAACAAGACGACAAATCGCAAATCAATGTAGAGAGTTCATGCGAAAATGCGTGATAAACCTGTGAGTGTATCAAATGGCCCAGTCTATCTGTTCCAGATAATTACGTTACCTTTGTATCTGCTACATAAAAAAATAAACAAGATAGCTATCCAAACAAATGTCATCAGCAAGCTTTTTACATGATAACCAGAAATTGCAATAATTGTCTGAAAAACTTGTTCACCTATTGATCATTACCAGATATAACATATGGAATTAGTACTACTTTTTTTTCCAAAATAAAACAAAGAAATATTTGTTGCATAATACAAACTAAATGTAAATGTGGTATTAACAAAGAAATAAACATTGGTAGAATAACAATTGTCACGTTCGTCCTCTAATTGAACTTTACACAATTGTATTTCCAGATTTTTAATTAAAAATATACATCTCCTGCGAGACGGAGCCTTCATACATTTAACTCGCGTTCTGACGACGCTTATTGCCAATGTGAATGTATTTTTTTAATGTCTGTCTATAGAAAGAAGAAATTCTTAAAAGAACGTTGACCTCAATGCTATTTAATTATAATTGGCAACAGAGCATGATTTCCATCTTTTGCATGATGATTAATTCATTGAAATTCCCTGTCCAATATTGCAAAAAAAAAGATTTTGTTTTACGAAATTTTGTGAAGTTGTCGATTAATTTATTCCAATTAGAAAGAATTCTAGCAAATAGGAAATAAATACTTTTTGTGTATCTGCAATTAGATAACCCATTAGACATATCATTGTAAAACCATCATTGGTAAAACCAGTTATCAATAAACAAGAAGAGATCATAAGTTTTATTTGTATTTCTAGAGAGATATTTAAAGACACTTTTCAAAATGGATTAAATATATCATATTCATACTACTTTACTGATTTAACACTAATTTTCAAGAAAAGTAAACGAAATATGTGTATTATTGTCTTTCTATTAAAGATTTTAGTTGTTTTAATTATATATAACCATAACTTAGTTATATAAGGAAGTTGATTCATCATATGAAACAAATTTGCATGTATATTTGTATTATAGATTCATCCTAAATCATAGATTTTCAATGATTTGTATCTTTGGATGCCTAAACAAAGCACAATGTTTACCTTTTTCTTATAACAGAAAAGTGCAGTTTTACTGCAGGTAATAAAACTGGAAAGTATATACATGTTACATTCTAGTTATTTATTAAATGCATTTATATTTTCTTGTATAATAGTAATAAGTGAGATATGGAAACATGTAGGCTGTGCATGATGCAAGGGAGCCAAGATATGATAATATCAATTTTCGGCGAAGAAAACCTATGCTCAAGGATATTGGCCTGTGTGCCTGTTCAGGTTGGGAGCAGTGGTATTTCCTTAGTATTGCTTAGAGTAAAATGGTTACTTACCTATTTGAGTTCAATTGATTCTGCAGGTTTTCACTGATGATGTGCTTCCGAAGTCAATATGCATCTCATGCCTGAACCGTGTCACACAGTGGGAAGTGTTCAAGGATAGTTGCATCAAATCACAGGGAATTTTATCAAGGGCATATCAGCAGCAGAAACCGGAGGAGCCACAGAAATTTGACATATTAATTGACAAACAGTTTAGGGAAACAGATGAGTGTTGCAATGAGGATGAGTTGATTGATGTGAATATTAGCTATAATTTTTGTGTATATAAAAAAAATAAGACAAACTTTCCTTTATTTTATAGAGTAACAGTCAAGTTTATGTATGTGAAATATGCAATGAAGTGTTTGATGTATGTTTTGAATACTTGGATCACCAGACTTCTCATGATGGCAGTGATGTATTCAAGTGCAACAAATGTCCAATGGTATTTACCAGTAGAGTGGATTTGGTGCAACATGACAGAAAACATATGAGTCCTTGTCCAGAGTGTGGAAAGATGATCTTGAAGAGCAGTTTGAAATTGCATCTGATCAAGCATACAAATAAGCACAGGTTATTTGCGTTTGCGTTTTTTTTTGCACTTTTTCAACAATTGCTTTTTTAGGTGCAATTTGTGCTTGCGGCAATTCAATTCGCAATCGGGTTTAGATGAGCATGTATTGATGGTGCATTCAGATATTAGGGATCAAATCTGCGAAACTTGCGGAAAGGGTTTCTCCACGCGGACAGCGCTAAGGGTACACATGAAGTCTCATTCAGAGGAGAGATTATATCCATGCGAGAAATGCTCCTATGCCGCACGCACTGCTTCCGCCTTGTACATACACAAGTCTACTCATGAAGCGGATCAGTGCGTATGTGATGTATGTTCGAAGACGTTCAAGAGTGCAAGAAACCTTCGAGATCATCTCCAGAGGGCCCACACGACGGATAAGAAGCATAAATGTCCGCATTGTGATGCACGCTTTTTGCAAAAGTATAAGCTTAATATTCACGTGAGGACGCACACGGGCGTACGACCTTACAAGTGTCCCGAATGCGAGAAAACTTTCAACAGATCAGATGGCCTGAAAGAGCACTTACTCGTCCACAGTAAAAGGGTATCCTTCGATTGCGCTGAATGCGGGAAACGATTTGCATCACAACGTAGCGTTTCTAGACATGTATGTTGAATTTTAATTAAAGAAAATTTATAAAACCATCTACATTCTTGTAGTAAATATCAATACAAAGTCGTTCACATTAGTCTAAATTATATCGTTCAAAATTGAAGAAATAGGACCATAATTAAATAAAAAAGTTACACCTGCGATGTCTACAAGATAAATTAGATTCAAACTAATTCGATGATAATGCCCTCTGATGCCTACTCATGGTATTTACACTTAACAACCACGAGCGCCCTCTGTCCACCTATTTAAATCTTTGAAAATAATCAATTTCTTAGCAAATTTTAGGTTATGTTAAGTTGATCAGAAACAAACATTACGATTTTAGGACGTGTTTATTTAGTAATAAGTGAAAAAAGTAAATATGTTGGGCGAAGATTACGACAATGTGAGTATACGCAAGCCGCGTTGATTTCAGCGATTATTGCTTTTGTTTATTTTTTCTTATGTAGTTACCTTCGATCACAGTAAAGGAGCCGCTAGATTTGGTGAGACTCAGTCTGGATGAAAGGATTTACGTCAAGATGCGTAATGATCGTGAGCTGAGAGGCAGACTGCATGTAAGTATAGTTCTACACCTATGTGACAATTGTTGGTGATTGTTTTGGTTGTCTGCAGGCTTATGATCAGCATATGAATATGGTATTGAGTGATGCTGAGGAGACTATAACTACAGTAGAGATTGATGAGGAGACTTACGAAGAGGTGTATAGATCCACTAAAAGGACCATCCCAATGCTCTTTGTTAGAGGTGATGGTGTCATCTTGGTTTCACCCCCCATGCGAACTGGTTAAACTGCCAACTTACAATATGTTTCAACAATCCAACCATAAAACTCAATAAAATTAAACTATATATTAATTGCATTATTTATACAATATATATAACATAAAAACTTTTGTTTTAATTATATAAAAAAAAGGAAGAAATAATCTAATAATAATACAAAAAAAAACATTGTTAATATATAATATATATAAAAAGTGAAATAATAGTGGAGGATAAATCTATTTAAGTTGGGATAACAGGGAGTGGCGTTGTTTTAATGTTTGATAAGTTTACAAACAAGTCAATTAATTAATAAAACAAAATGAACAAATACAAAATAATAGTATTAATGAAGAATACAAAGGGGAAAATTAGTAAGATTTCAGCACAAAATAATAAAATTAATGAGATAGAATAATAATATTAAACACGTTATTTATGTACAGGGGAGTTACGTAAATTGTAATATACTGTTCATAATCAGTTTATGTAATTATATTGGTATATAATATATTTCTTTTTCTCTTGATTTGTGTTTGTCTCGAATATTGAGTAGTTTCGTCCTTTTTTCTTCGTCGATAGTTCCGTGGACACCATGCACCGCACTCTGTGTTTCTTAAATTTTGTCTTTTCATAGTAAATAATATATAGATATATACAAATTAAATTCATTTGATTTGTTTTCAACAATTAATAGTAATAATAAGTGTTTCTTTTTGTTGTTAATGTTGTCGTTATCAGCATCCAACGGATCGGGAAAAGAACGTATTCAACGGCAACGGATAATAATAATTAGTAACTTATTGTCGTGTCGTCGTTGAATGTGCTTTTGGATGGAGTGAATTGAACGTTGGATGCGTAAAATTAAAGTTTAAATTGTTTGTGTTGATGATTGGGTTCGGTTGCTGCTGCTGGTGTTCGTTGCTGGAGATGATGATTGTATGTCGATGGCGAAGTCACCTTATCCATCGGATCGCAGTAGCAACAAAAAAAACCAAGAACCATAACATTCAAGAATAGTCCGTGTCGGACATCACCACATCACCGTTCGTGTTGATTACGTCGTCCTCATTGTAATCGATACTGAGTACGGAAGTCCTCCTCACACGTTTAACCCTTGTAGTCCGCTCATCCTCCTCTTCACAAACACTACTAGAGTCACCGTTGGCCCGGCCGTTCGGCATTTTTAGACTACTGTTCTCCTTCTGCAGCGCACCGAGCGCGTCCTTCGCCTTGCGCAGCTCCTGTTGAAGAAACAGGATCGTGCTCTGCATGCCCTCGACGTCCTCGTCAAGATCGGCAAGGAAGGAGTCGAGTTCAAGCTGCGATTTTCGCACCTCCTCGGAGAAGTTCTTCTGCAACGCGAGGTCGCCTTCGAGGATGGCGACGCGTCCGTTGCACGTGATCTTACCGAGCTCCTCGTTCTCCTGGTAGAGCAGCCGGCACTTTGCCATCAGCCGTTTCCCGGTGTTCGAGTCCGGCGTGAACTTCCACGCAGATAGGTCGTTCTGCGTCTCCTCCAGCTTGGCCTTCGTGTTCTGCAGCTCAGTCCGTAGCAGTTGCAGCAGGCTGTTCACCGCCGGATCCAGAAGCGTTGATCTCAGAGATGTCGTCGTCGGAGCCTGGGCGTTCTTTAATTCATTCACTTGGCACTGCAGCGCAAATCAAATCGCAAATTACAACAAAACCACCACACACTCAACAAAAATATAAATCGATCAAAATCATAATGAAACGTACTCTATTTCCTACCCCTTTTCCTTGTCGTCAAATCACGAAGCACTCACCAAAGAAAGAGGGGAAGCCTCGACGTGCCAAAAACACGATTCCACAAATTACTTTAAATCGTTTTTCGAATCACAGAGGTTCAGGGAAATAGAGTTTTGTTTGCAATAAAAAAAATAATTAAAAAAAAATTAAAAAAATCACAGTGCACTTCTTCAAATGTTCAATGGGCAGTTCATCAATCAAAGTTTATTTATTTTTCTGTTTTTATTTCTCTGTCAATCTCCTGTTCAAATAGTTCCTTTTCTCATAAAAGAAAAACTGCAAGGGAAACAAAACCATATAAAGAAAAAACACTTATGACTAGCTATAATATCACAGGACCATCAAGAAATATCCAATGCCATACAATTGCTTCTTGATAAATTGAGATTTGCACCTATTCTGTTTGCTTATTTTCCATTACATTCATTTTTTCTGGATTATATTTTTTTTCCAACCAACTAATCTGCAAATTATCATCTATTTCAGTTACTTGCAAATCACTGGAGTAGTCCTACAATTTAGTTTGAGACTGGTTACAATCAATTAAAGGGAAATTCACAATCTTAACAATCAGCACAAGAACAGTCAAAATAACAACAAACAAATTGTAACAATTTCAAAACTTATCCATAACAATTTTTTCCTCATAAAATCAATTTGGTAAAATGTAATGTAATAGAACAATAAACCAGATAACTGAGGAATGCAAATTTATCTCCATACATAATATACAAAATCATTGATGCAAACAATATTGTTGAAACAAAATCAAAATCACATTAGAAATTTTGCATGAATCCCACAATTTGTTTAAAAAATATCATTTTCCTTTCATATCACTGGATTAGCACATATATTCATCTCTTTGTTATTTAACGCACTGTATGTGTAATAATCACTGACTGACTGAAGTTCTTCACTGCACTACATCTCAATTTATCAAAAGCAATCATATAGGTTTAAATATATATATATCACAATTTCCAAAGATCTACAAATAATATAGTAAATTAAAACCAATTGTTCAAGTGTCAATAGGATTGTCAATCTTTGCATGAATCTTATAAGATATCATTTTCATCATGGTCTTTTTGTATGTTTGTTTTTCTTTTGTGTAGAAATGAAACCACAGATCACAGATTCGGAAACTAGAACACAGACTCTCAGGCCATCAGAAACATATCACTGGCGCACACTTTGAATATCGCTTGTAAACTGCATATTGAACATTTGAATAAATTTTGTGTGGTACTAACCACATAATCCTGCATTTCATGCTCTTTTGCTGTGAGCCTCCTGATAAGGACCTTCTCCTTCTGCTGTGAATCGGAGAGCTGGTTTTTAGTCCTGTCATAGTTTTGGCGCAGATCCGTCAAGTCTCCTGCAACGACGATCAACAATTTTACCCACCGCACTTGTTTTCATTTTCTTTTCTCACAATTTAAACAACACCAAAATACACCCATACAGCATAGAAATTAAACGGTCCACTAGTGCTAGTGGATTTCGTGTATCTACCTTCTTGTTGGGAGAGCCTCTGCTCTAGCAGTGTGATATAAGAGTCCTGCATGCGCCAGTGACTGCACCACTCGTCGGCGGAGAGGGATGAGAGTTCGGACTCCTTGAGGACGACTCGGGACGGCGCTTTGTCCTTGTCATCTGGGCTGCTCGGTTGAGCCGAATCGCTCGGCTCCGACATATTATAATAGCCCCTAAAAATAAAACACACACAATCCGTTAATACTGAGCTCGAGAGCGTGCGCCCCCCGGCTGCCGCGTGAATTTTACGGGGGTCAAAGCACAAGATCTGCCAACACAAAACAACAAAAACGAGCTAAAATAAAAGAGATACGTCCTTCCAATTGGACAAAGTCCTATAAACTTCTATATACACAAATACGCATTATACCTAATACTATATATATATTGTAGTATGTGTGTGCATAAAAGAAAAGACGGCCATTGCTCGGACCCCAAACAAGCGAAAGTCTTGCGACCATTCATCGTAACGCAATCTGCTCTCACCTCTAAACGGTCCAAAAGTAACGACGACCGTCGTACACCGGTCTCGAGCACTTAGAAAACTGTCTCCGCGTTACTACTTCTAACGATTTCACGCACATCAGGCCCCAATTTCAGGCCACGAGAGTTCAACAATTCTTTACAATTTTCGCCATTCGGAACGACTCTCTTTTTCTGACGCCATATTCTCTTGCACTCACAAACACCAACACAAAATATCTAGGGCGCTCGGCGCTGCCACCACACGACGACCTCACTGAGCATCACTGAGAAAAACACAAACAAATGAACAAATATGGCATTCCTAATGAAACAAACCGCACGATCTAAGACTAACTTTCCAAATTCAATTTTAACTAACGTACCACAAATTGAACAAAACTATTTAGGCAGCCTAACGTACATATCTTGTATGAAACAAGTAACTTCTATCATTTATCTTGGATATACTATTAATTTTATAATACTAATATAACGGTCTACACATTAATTCTAATCCATTCATGGACATTTGTCGTTTTATTATATTATAATAAACTAACCCTCAATGTTTGTTTACATTCCTCTCCTCTCACTTAAGGACTTTCAGACCGCAAATATACGCACGGGTGTACCTTGTATAATTGTATCATGAGTATGCCATACTATAGTGGTTTCCAACCTTAATTTTACTACGCCTCCCTCAAAAGTATGTAATCATTTGGCGCCTCCCCTCCCCCCACCATTTCATAAAAGATAAAAAACTTTAGCAAACATTTGGAAAATTGTTCACTGCGACTAATATTCGCACCTCCCCTTAGACTAGTCCACGCCTCCCCAGGGAGGCGCGCCTCACAGTTTGGAAAACGCTGCCATACTATAAGATATCAAAATTCAATACGAAAAGTTCGCAGTTCAACTATAGAAAATAAGTTGGAAGTATGACCAAAGTTATATTTTTATAGTGAGACGTACTAAAACAGGTTAGGAAAGCTCTGTTTTAAAGAAAAAATAATATTTTCTAAATTAAAGTTTGTATTATTATAATACAATCTATTCTACAAAATTGTATGATCGCTTTAATGCGGTTGCGAATATTTATTTATATACGATTTTTAATTTTATGTACTATATTTGACAACTGTTATAAATAATTTTGACAAGTGTACTAACTACATTAATATTTAAAATAAACAATAAAAATAACTTCAATAGTAGATTTCTACGTCTTCCTAAATTATCACAATACAGTAAGACCTCGCTTAGCTAAATTTATTATTTACAATTTGTCAAATGCAGGCAACAAGTAAATAGTATTGAAACAGTAACAAAATATAACACTTAGCTGAAATAAAAATTCTTCGTGGACGTCTACGTCAATTACAAACTTAAACTTTTCATTTTTAAATTTAAAAAAAAATAGATTATGCAAACGTACTTCGCGCAAATATTTTAAGTTTCCCCACGGCGACAGAGATGGCGCGAGGAAAAATATCATCTGGAAAGACCTCGATCTGGAAAGCTCTTTTATGGTCATATTGTTTGACCAATAAATATATTAAAACTACAAAAAATAAAGAAATAATTTATTAGCTATCATATATTATAGTAATTATTTCATTAATTCGTGGAAATAAAACTTAATTCAAGAAATTCGTCTCTTTTTTGCTTAACAAATTAAAAAAAAATGTTATGTACCAAATAATATATGCTTACCTTTGTAAATACAGTGGAACCTCGCTTAACGAGTTTAATTCGTTTCAAAATTTCCGGAATTTTACTCGTATAGTGAAACAAAAATACACATGATATGTGTACACAAGTTTTAACAGGCGCGTAATCCGGGACTTTTCTTCTCATCGTCACTCGTTATGTGAAACGTCGCTCGTTAAGAGAGTTATTTTTCTTGTCTTTTCAAAGGGTTACTTTGAAAAATTGGTATTTTTAATGCAAGTCTTCGGGAATTTTCTCTATTTATATTGGTATGTAAATTATCTATTCTTAAATAACCCTGTTCCATCAAAATATAAAAAACGAAAAAAATATAAATATTAAATTCTATAGAATTTGGCTTGTATATTTTTTTTTTATTTAAATCATCCATTTAACACGTTGACCATACGACATTGACGACGACGTCGACCATATATTCTGTCACTTTTGGGCTGGTAACTATGAAAGCTAATATATTTGCTAGATAAGGCTTTTATAATGTTTTCTTACGCGTCCGAGGAGTTCGGTTGTATTTTTGCACCATCACGAATTAGTTTAAGTGTATATTTTTGTATATTGCAGAATATGTTTCCAGTGTGTTGGTAAAGGTTATTAAGCTATTTATATCATTAACGAATATCGGCGGTGTTGTGTAAATTTCATTGGCTGGCGCCGAACTAACGAGTTAAATTCGATATATTCATGGCGCAAATGTTTGAAAAATGTTGACCATCGAATGGGTCACAAAATTTTGGATTCGAAGATTCTAAGAATTTTCTTAGAAAATGTTTAGAAGCGATAACTGAAATCGTTGATCAAATTGTAGCGAATGATCTAATTTTTGACAGGAGTGCAAAAGTAAGAAGAGGAGTTGTTGGTTTGCTCCTACCAACATTTGCTTAATGATAGGAAAATAAAGTGACAAATGAAAAAATAAGCAGCTGAGTAGGAACAAGTGAGTATCAATCGAGAGACATTAGGTATTGGAATAGGGATAATGTGGGATATTTAAATTTGGGAAGGGTATTTGGGTTTCGAGGAGCACATAATTTAGAGAGGGAGGCGATGTTGGACTGTTTGGATTTAAATTTCAAGGAGAGGGAAAGGTATCGGTCGAGGAGAGGGACTATTTTGGTTTTGGTGTAAAGGAGATCATTAGGAGGATTGTGTAGAGGATTATTAGGATGTCGTATTTTGGTAAGGATACGAAGGGCGGAACGTTCGGATACGGACAGGTTTTTTGGGACAGGATTCCGGCATTGGGTAAGTAGTGGGAAACCGTAGTCAAGGATAGGACGGCATATTGATTGGTATATGGATGTTTGGCACTTTATGGATATTTTGGAGGTACGGAATGTTAAGGAACGGAAATGACGGGATCTGGATTTAATTTTGGATTTTAGTTGTTTGGAATGGGAATTGAGATTGAGTTGAGGATCAAGAAGGATTCCAAGGTATTTAACAAGTGGTGATGGGAAAATAGAATGATTATTTAACGGAACATGGGGAGACGAAGGGCATATGCGATGGTAGGGAATAAGGAGTTTGGTCTTGGATGGGTTAATTTTTTTAAACCATAAAATGGTTGAGGATAGGAGATTTTGAAGCTTAAGAATAGAGGATTGAAGTGTTCTTATTATATTAATGTTTATAAATTTAAAAAGAAAATGAGATTTAACTTGAAAATATTAGTGAATTAGCCAGATCTTTATTTCCCAATAAATTTATTTTTTTCTGAAAATACGCTAATCATAAATACATTGTTTCTTAACTATTGTTCTGACAAATAATATCTCAAACTCGAACTCATTAAATAGGTCAAAACGTAAATCACCTCTTAAGTTGAACATAAACATTGACCGTACTTAATTAAATAAATTTCCTGTCGGTTTGCTATCCCATAGTATAAATAAATAAAGTTATTTTACTCTTTTGTTTATATAATATATGATTTGTATATAATACAAATATGGCTATTATTAGCTAAAGAAAAATAATTATTTATTAGCTTAAAATAAAATCTAATACAAATTTGAAAAACGTATTGCTATTTAATTGTATTTGTTTTAAAAAAAACATGCTTAGATAAATACAAAGGTTCTTAAAGTATTAATACAATAAGAATTATTTAATTAGATAATTAGAGAATTTTTAGCTAAGTAAATACTATAAATCGAGCTAAGTAAATATGTAAGTAGATTTAAATTATATGGTAAATGTGCAATATAATTTTGAGTAAATGTAAGTTGAGTGCCAAAATCGGTATTCTTCAAAAGTTTTGAATCTGATACTGCAATGATCTAAAAAAAAATACTTACCTTTTTGATAATTGCTACATTCAATAATGTTAGTAATCCATATAAAAATGGCACACAGAAATGAACATAAATAAATAACTTTTATTAATTAAAAAAAAAATTATTTAGAAAACTGATTTATACAAATAAAATAAAAATAAGATTATACATAAATATAATAAAATAATACTTAAATGTTGAATAAGTTATTCTTAAAAAAAAGCAGATGGTTAAATTATTATTAAGCATTTGCAATGAATGTCAGTAATACTTATGCAAATGTTACGGTTATGCAATTCAAATTCGACAAAATAAAATTACAGAAATATTTAAATTTTAGCTGTAATAAATTTACATTTTGAAAAGGATGAACTAAAAAATTAGCATTAACAATGAATGCAAATGATGCTTGTATAAATGCATCATCTGCTATTGTACCAATTATATGCTGTAGGCGGGCAGAAATTGATGTGGAAGGTTGAATATGAGTAATCTAATGGTAAATGAATGTGTGAATACTACTTGTATAAATGCAATAAATACTATTTGGATCCCAGTTGGTACAACTACCATGGTCGTTTTAGGAACATGCTCGCTTTGTTCCTCGTGGTGTTTCTGCCCTTCTTCATTTTTCCTGCTGTATTGATAGCCAGAAACCAGTTGGGTTTCTCGATTTTGTTGAAGGTCGAATAATTACCGGCAGGACTCTCGTAGAAAATTGTGTTTTGGTCTTCCTTATCCGCCTGCAAGAGGAGCACATTTTATTGTTACAACATGAATAGGTAACATTAATAGATACAGCAAAAAGTTAATGTTACATGGGAAGTCGATTCTCATCTACTAGGATTTGGCTCCAATGAAGAAACTGAAGCGTATTTTGAAATCAAAGATAAATCGTTCTACAAGAAAGGTATCGAAATGGTAGAGAAGCGATGGAATGAATGTATCACTCTTGAAGGGACTACGTTGATGAATAAAGTCGAATATTGCCCGAAAGTTGTTGTTTTTTCAGTCATCCTACGAACTTATTGAGTGATCTTTACCGCTGTTTCTCAACTTTTATTCCGCGATACTCAAGATCCCATTAGATAGTTTTTACTTTGACATAAGTTGACAGCTGCCATTTTTCGACCCATTAAAAAAATACGCAGACGTAATTTTGGGTCACGACCCATTGCTTAATAGAGTGATTCTCAAAGTGCGGGTCGCGTTCCCGCTTATATACGAAAGATCTTATTAGGTATTTGGAAAAATATTCCACAGAATGTATTTAGACAATTATTGTGAAATTGTGTTTAAGTAATATAAATATGGTTTATAAAATACAGTGGAACTTCGTTTAACGAGTTTAATCCGTTCCAAAATTTCCGGATTTTTACTCTTATAATGAAATACTCGTATAGTGAAACATATTCAAAAATACACATAATATGTGTACACAATTTTTAAAAATGATGTAAAATTTGCGCAATCCAGGATTTCTATTCTCATCAGCGAATCATTTTTCTTACAATTCCTTTTGCTCGTTAAGCGAAATGCTCGTTGTGCGATGTGCTCGTTAAGCGAGGTTTCTCTGTAGTTTTTTTTAGATTGTAAAACTTTAAAACATTCTATTATATAAAGCTGAGGTTGGTCAAAGGAATTTGACAAAATCTCAACCTTTTTGAGCCTTTAATTGTTACATATAATCTGAGTATCATAATTTGCTGATGCTTATTCAAGAAGTATTTTTTAGATATTTTTATTTATAATAACTTTAATAGTTAACTTTAAAATGATACCAGTTTTGTGTGCGCATCATTAATAATACAAAATATTCTGTGTATCAATTTTAGATAATAAGATTTTTTTACGAGGAACAGTTTTGTATAATTATAATTTTAATATATGTAATGTATATAATTTTTTTATAGGAGCTTTAAATTGTATATTTATTAATGATCTTTGAATATAAAATACTTAGTTTTATAATTGTAAACATTGAACTGTTTTATAATTTTAATTTGTATAAGCTCTTTAATTATGATTGTAGTTAAAATTTCATTAATATATTTAATATAAGGTCAGGTATGAGTCAATAGTTAGAAATAATTTGAATTACCTTTATGTACAGCAAAACCTAACTTAGTGGAGCTTCGATCATTGCGGATTCACTATTGTATGGTTTAAATACTTCAAAAGAAACTAAATTTTAATTGAGCAAAAAAAAATCCAAAGAAAAATATAGCCAAAATTATTTTCTTATACATAAATAATCATATTTTTTCTTCTACACAGTCAAGAATATTTTTAAGCTCTTTATTTTTAAACGTTTTGAAAGTCCTTTCGTTGCCTTTTTTAATTTTGTGTAACTATTTGAATAAATGTTATAATTGAATTATTGTTTTGTGATTAGTAAGAAATAATCGATATTTTGAATTAAAAAAAAACAAATATGAATCATTTGTACATTGAATGAAGATTTATCATTCATTGATGACACAAAGCAAAACGTTGGTATATTTAATATTTGCAAAATATGTTTCACGAAGTATGAAAAATATGTTAAAGTATATTTCAATTTGTTTTTCAATGTTCACTTTTCAAATAAAGGTCTCCCTGTACTGGGAGAGTCGTAACTGCAAAACTTACGTAAGTCGCATATTACCTATACTATAATGCACAATGAAACATTATTGAATTTTGCAAATTTTAGGAAAAAAATAAATTGTTAGTAAACTAACAACTAAGAAACAAGTAAAATATTAAAATTATTCAAACGTTCGTGTCAAAAATCATAAAAAATATTTTTGGAAACACAATATACCGAAATAGGTTTGACTCAAATGTGTTTCCTATTAAATCACTTAAGAATGTCACAACTGAAACGTTTCAAGATTTGATTGCTATTATTTCGTAAGTAAATAAAGTGGCTTCTTACGCAGTAGAACCTGGGTTGTTGAGAATAGTTTGTCCTTAAAGGCTATTAGGATTCTAAAACCATTATGCTTTGCTGTACATCTCCCGTATCTTATTATTAATTTTCCTGTTGGAATACCGAATTTGGTATGAAAACCAAAATTATGTTGGTAAACCGATGCAGTTTAGGAACTGAAATTTCACCGTCACTGGCAGTAATTAAGTGAATATGTTCTAAATATAAATTGACAAATTAAAAACTGTTGATATAAAGTAGCCGTATCTCATTGACAGTTTGCCTGTTAAAATATCGAATTCTGTTTGGAAACCAAAATTGTGTTTGGAAATAGATGCGTGTTTTGGTTCGGAAAACCGAGATTTCACAGTCATTGTCAATGGTAGGTGTGATGCGTTCAAAGGTAAGTTGAGGAATTTCCGACTAATCTTACCGTCGAGTAGATCTTTCCATTATCATCCCTCATTGCGACGTATAGATTAGTGGAGAAACCTCGCAATCGCAAGTTGCCGCCCGATATCGGTTCCATTACTATACGTGCTGAAATTACATGATTTATGTTTGTGAAATTGCAAAACGGTTTCAATCACTTACTGTACTGATCTTCTTTGTCCTCGGAACCTTGACACATGTCCTCGCCAATCATCAGGTAGTATCCGGTTTCGGAATGCAGTTGCACATTGTTCGTGTAGAGGGGATTTGTCGTAGGATTCGGGGGCCCAATTCTAAATCATGGAGAGGAGAGCTTGAGCGCAAGGAACCTTTTGTTTTAATTGAACAAACACTTACATTACACGTCCATGCAAATCTTCACTTATAGAACTTGAATAATCAGGACTGTCGGAGGATCCAGAAGATCCCTCTTCATTGTGCGTATCAATAAAAGCTTCCATGCTGTCTTCTTGCAACAGCCGTGCGCGCACTCTAAACTCGAAGTAAAGACGCGCGAGTTATCGTTCTCACCAAGTAAAAATACTAAACTATAAAAATAACTTTAACCCGCAGTGCGCGCACTCCGCAATTGAATAAGCGACGCCCTTATCACATAACTAAACACTAAAAATCACGAACTACAAGTGGATCAGACTCATTCCGAGCAACTATAAAAAAAATCAGATTTTACCTGGAAATTGCAAACATATTTACGTGTTCCAGCAAACAGAGATACCGCAACAGGATAACAAACACAACCTTTGTTTATTTATATTGTATCACAGCAAAGTTTCGTGAACGCGAGCACGCTTGAGATGTCCGTAACAGCTGTTCCTGCTGCACGTATTACTTGATAGTATTTATAAAACATTATTTTTAATTTCATTCCGTAGACGTAAAACATTTTCGATATGTGAATGATTCACTTATAAAATATGTCGGTTATACAAATGTTATCCCTCCGTGTTTGTAATAACGTAACGTATTTACATTGTTCCCATTGTTTCGCTAGATTGGTCTATTTTTAGTGCACAAACATATCGATCGTAAACTTAATAGATGCCAAAAGCATTTTCGAAAAGCAAATGATCTCTTTAAATGCAATTTTGGATGTTTCAAATTAATTTTATAATCGGGACGCGAAATAATCTTATCTAAAACACATTGATAACAAAAAAAATTAATTTTCAATATGTATATTATTTTTTGATTATTAATATTTTATATTTGTTATTAATCATTAAGTTAAAGCGCTTAAGTTTATTTTGTTACTGTAATTTTGATAAGCAATTTTATTTTTTTTATAATGATCAACGGGATACCTGTTGTTATCTATAGTATTTAGGTTGGTATCATTAAACAATTTGGATGTCATTATAATTACTTTTATTATGTTTTCCAATATACGAAGTATAAACTTTGATTAATTATGTGAATGCATTCCATAAATATACTTTTTTTGTAATTTTCCTTCAGCATTTCATTTAATAAGTTGAGTATATCTTGTAATCATAATTTAAGCATTATCCAAATAACACAGATCAATTTTCAGTACATATTTTTATTATGTTTCTATGCTCGTTTGTTTTGTAAATAAATCCTCTAATCCCTTTTTATTTCAATCTGTGACAAATTGCATATTAAGTAAATTAGATATCATGGATTATATAGATATGGTTGAGCATAATATTTTTTATGTCGTGTAATTTTATTTACAATCTGTTCATCAATGTGAACATTGAGTACATTTAAGATTGCGGTTGACATTAGGTCGATAATCTTTCCCGGTGGAGAGTTACCATTATGATGATTTTTAATTTGTAGGCTGGCTGTCGTCTTGTGGGTTAAATTAAATAGTATATTGATGCTCTACGATTCCACTATTTCCTTTGTCTGTGAATCTGCTGCTATCCTTAACACTGACATTGTCCATTGACTTGGCTGAAGGTCCATATGCTGAACCTCATTCACTTGACTGTCCATCTGTGATGAACGATGGCCCTATTGCTGCAAGCACCGAGAGACCTCACTGGCTTTTGACCAGGATTCGATCGTGGGTAGGGCGACTTAACTATTCGGCTATTAGTCGCCGTAATTTATATGTATAATGTTTAATATGTATTGATGAAATTAATTTACATTTTTTAGTTTATGATTATCCTTATATATTTGGACACTAATATGTATTATAAAGATAATTGGGTATTAAGTATATCGTAGGTAGAGTACACATTTCTCGGAAATAGTGGGTAAATGTAAGTTGAACTCACATTTACCAGTCAAGCTGATAAGTGTGTACATTTACCGTAACATTCAACATCTGACATTTTTTTTTAATTGTTAAGGATTTGACAATACTATTTTAAACACAATAAAAGCATTCAACGATTTAAAAATTTTAAAGAAGAAACAGGAAGAGGATTACAATATGAAACTAATAAATGAAGATCGTAGATCACAGAAAAATGCTTTTTATTCGTTCAAAATTATTTTTATATTAAACATTCACAAAAATGGGAAAATGAAAATAAATAATACACACACACAAAAAAAAACACATTGCTTGTATTTTCTTTACATAATAAGTGTAGTCGCTGTTGTATTCTGCAAAACTGTCAGTTGGTGACAGCAGCAGTAGTAATTGCACGATGAAGTTGTGGTAGTATGAACGGGTATTGTTGTTTGGGTCAGTAGTAGTAAAATATTCGCTAATTACAGTGTAAATATTCGTCTGGTTTTACTTTGATTTGATTGTCGCATGCTGTTGTGGTTCTGATTTGCATGTAGGTCTTTCCTCTGACGGTGGCGAACTCGACAATTTTCGAATCGTTCCCACATTTGTACCGCTTTACCTGCAGGCTAAAAGGTTCGGATTCCGTCTCACTTTTCACATCTTCGCAAACAAATTGACTCATTCATATTTATATATATATACATAAATATCAAATATAATGAAAAAAAAAACATTTTTTTTTTCGAAATATACGAGGGACGGCGCGATATGTTGCGTTCGGTTGATTGTTTTGATGCTCCCAACCGTTCTTGTTATTTCTCATTTGTTTTTTTTTAATTAAATATTTGTTAACTTTCTTTGGACGATCTTAAATTAAAGAATGTTCATTTTTTTTGTTGCTTTTTTGATTTTTCTGGACAGACGTGGGCGTGTGGGAGGGACGGTCTCGAAAAGCTCTTTCCCTTGACTAAAGCTCTTTCCACTATATATAACTCTCACTCTCACCTATCTACCAATCCTCGAAATGAGATTACGTAAACAAAAGAAGAGAAACAAAAGAAAACATAAACAGTACAATACGGTCTAAACTCACTAAACATCTATAAACACGAACAATACAATAATTATATTATGTTAGAATAGATAAATTCTTTCGCAAATGGAAGTTAATTAATTATACAAAATCTATTGCTTCAAAAAGGAAAAATACTATAGGTTTCGTTGCATTCAACAAGAGGTAAGGCGCATCCACCGCACGTTAGTGTCAATCACAGCCATTAATTTGCTCAAATAGAAACACTCAACAAACAACTTGCAAATCGATTATATAAATTTATATGACGTAAAGTATCTCATTCGTTAATCGAGGTATAACTGTTTTTTTTGTAATTATGTATAAAATATTATTTGTGTTTAGTTCTAAATGTTTTTATATTATAATATATTTTTTAAAGAGAAACAAACAACATTTTTACTCAATATAGATTAAAGGTTCGTATTCAATACTTGGAAACAAGTACTTGCATGTGTACTTAAATATGGCTACATGAGTTTGGTAGACAACCGTTTTTAACATTAAATGAGATAACTGTATTTAAATTGTTTATTAGTTCCATTTGTTTTCTTGCATAATTTCAAGTAATTTTGTGAATCATGTGAACGTATTGCACTAATTACTCGTTACTTGACAAGTAAGGCGAAGCATGTAGTCATTTTATTTAAAATAAATGAAAATTGATAAACTTGCTGTTTATTAATACAATTCTATGTGAATAAATTAATGGCTTTATTTAAATCGACAATTTTTAACCTTTAACTTCTGAAGATTATTTTAATCCCTAAGTTGATGAAGAATTGTAAATATAGCCAAAAGCAATATTAGCAACAAGACTATTTTAACAATGTTTGTTGAAACTCTTCTTAACATGGAAAATTTAAAATCACTTGGTAAGGTTAAATTACTTTTACGCAATACGACAATTGTTGAATGCAACGTGACTAAAATTAAACTATAACAAAGAATTCACTCTACAGTTCGAAGGCAATTTGATTGACAAGTACGTTGCTTACGTAATAAACGTTCATAATCTTAAATACATCTTCTTTATTATTCCTTTAAATCTTGGGCCTACTGTTTTATTACAAAATAAATCTCTCCATGGGCACATTGAAATACTGAACTTCGTTACTAAACTTATCTCTTCGTTCTCTTTCCAACTTCGTTTTTTTTTATTACAATTTTTTTTTTGGTCCAAAATTCTCTAAGAAACACTTATTCTTTCGTTTTGGCCGCGGAATCTTCAGAAATCGAAGCGTAAATTTTGTTTTGAATTGAATCGATTTGACACAGCGCATTTACCGAAGGATCCTAATTATTATTATTTTGATTGTGCTTTGTATTTACTTGAATTAAAATAGAACTCGCTTACAATACTTGGCTAAATCTTAATTTGTAAAATATTTCATCTCTTATATTAAAATCTCACTTTTCTTTTTTTGTTAATTATTTGCATGATCATTGTTATTTTCATTTTCTTTTGTTTTGTTTTAAATCTAGGATGCGTGATTATTCGTGTGGATGAGAGTGCGCGCGTGTATTTTCATAATTTTTCTGCCTTTTACAAAATGCCGTTCGTAAGATGAATGATGCCTCTCGTGATCCTTTGTTACGTACATATTTTCCCGGATCCCGGCTAAACTATGTGGCGAAGATTACCACTACTACTACTACCGAGGTGTCTCTATGATTACAGTAATAGTCTCCTCGGTCTCCGCTTTGTTCAATTCTTCGTCTACTTCATCCTCTAGCATTCTACACTCTACATCACTAGAAAAAGAGAAAGCGTTAACGTTAGTATATCTGCTAGAACTCCTTGACATATCTACAAACTGCTATTGTTCTGAAAATCTCGGGTAATTGTATAATTGCTACCTTGTTATCGGCGTTGGCAGGGGAGCCACTTTCACGGACTCCAGAAGATCGTTGACCTCGGCGGATGTGACGTACGAGATGCCGGTGGTGCGGCGTAGCTCTCTCAGCTCGACTCCGCGGAAGAGGTCATCCCTGAGGAGCTCCTCGATCGTTGGGCATGAATCACTCTCGAAGATATCCCAAAGGGTTTCCGCTATTTTCGGTGTCCTCTCCAGCTCGATCTTCAAGTGCGCTGCGCTCGGCGGCGTCGGTAACTCATATCTGACACCAACCAAAAAAAGAAAGTATTATAGTTCTAAACAATTTAAAAAGCTGAGTAATATTTTTTTATTTACAATTTGAAAACACCATATCAAATATTTTCTTCATTTAAATTAACCAAATTATTCATATTATTGTATTCATAAAAATAATAGCGTTCAACTTAATAGATTTATAATTGGTAATAGATTTTTTTCACTGATAATTAAGATAATTTTATAATAACTGATGCACCGCTTTGTATTCCATAATTATATGCTTCCATAAGCTTTTTACTCAAACTGACGGCCTGCGGGTATTACACAGAAAATACATTTCAATTATGAATTTGTTACAAATGTATGACTATACCAATGAAATTTTGAAATATTACATATTTGGTTGAATGAGGGATTAGTTCACTATTCTAAATCAAACATAGCAAGTTAAATTATTATGCTAATTAGAAGAAAATTAAATAAATGATAATATAATAGACAACATTAAAACTCTATCAGTTTAGTTTAATTATTCTATTAAGTTTTTCAAAATAACTGAAAAAGAAATATTCCTACATTCTAATAATAATATTAGATAAATAAGTTGCCCTATTTACGATCAATTAAGATCAATTTCTGACACCAATACGTATCCAACAGATATTTATTTGGTTTGAGTGATGAACTCATTAGGCATACTTTTATATTCAATTATTAGGAAATGACCATGTATGAATTGATTTAAACGTTGAAAATGTATTTTTTTTTTGTTCATAATCTATTACTATAATCAGTGTTCTGAATTCGAGACAATATTTAAAGTATTTTTATATTTAGATGTTCCTTTATATATTAATTAAAAATGTTGTAATCATTTTCTGTAAAAAAAATAATTCTGTAAGAATAAACGCAGCGTATGCTCGTTCATGATCAGCTCATTAAAGAAACCAGCAACAACCTCTTCTCCAGAATTTAATTTCTGGAGATGAAAAATGTATACTCTACAACAATGTTGTGCACAGTAAATCTTGGTCTAAACAAGATTGTGCTCCCCAAACATCACAAAATATTAGCCTACTTCCAATGAAAGTTATGTTATGCATTTAGTGGGATTTCAAGGATGTTGTCTATTGTGAGCTGCTACCGAATAATCAAATTATCAATTCAGTCAAGCACTATGAGCAAATTGATAATTTGTGATTGCTCTTGCCCAAAAAAGATCAGGAATGGTTAATAAACGACGAATATGTTTTTAACATGATAAAGCGAGACCTCATACATATGTAATCATCCTACAAAAGTTGATAGTGTTTTCATGTGATATACTACCTCACCTTCCATATAGACTAGACATCGCACCGTCCGACTATCATTTGTTCCGCTTTTGAAGAAAGGTTGCAAATACGAACGGACTTATGTAACAACTCAATAATTGAGTTTACTAAACATATTTAAATTTAATGTGGTGTTAAATCTGCTTATTTTGGTACAATAAATGGGTTTAATATCGGTTAGTACATGTCTCGTAACGATTTCTATGTTGCTAAGACGAAAGCGTTGCTTTATATTGATGTTGGTCATAAATAACTGATTGCAAATGGTAAGAGAACTGTTAATTGAGCGAGTAGTGGATACTCTGTTTTGTTTTCAAGCCTAAAATAATTCAATGTTTGCTTACTAAACTCGGTATTGAGTTTTGTATCGTTTTATTAAGCAAGGCAGAAAGACCCATTGTCAATAGCCCTTTGTATCAGTTAACTTTTTTGAAATTATATATATTTATTTTGTTCTTTTTATTTATGTATATGTTTTATATTGTTTTTATTGAGTAAAAATTATTTTATATATCTTCTATTTCTAGAACTTGAATCTATAAATAAATTTATAAAATATTTGAAAAAAAAAAAATGATTTGTCATCAGTTTTTTTTGGTTATTTTCGGTACCCCCCACTTTGAGAATTACTGGACCAATACGATAACAACTATAAAAGTTTATGTGATTAACTTATTTTCACTTTCCAGAAGTATCTTATTGATTTCTATAGAACAAACAAAACGCATCAAGAGAAGTAAACAGGGTAGACATACTTTGGTCAATAGATTTTCTTTCAGGAAAGACTTTTTTTGTATTTGTTATTCAGTTATGACAACATATAGTGTATTCAGTACTCAGAACACTATATGTTGTACACTGTACTGAATTCATCAGCACAATGGCGAATGCATAATATAGACGCAATCTAAAACGTGCTGGGCTGTACAATGTGTTTCTGCTTTAATTGACACTATTGTCAATGTAACATCTATGATGAAACCGTTGAATTAATTGCCGCATTGTGATTCTCTCATGTGCACCGATGTAATTGATGGTAACCCAATAACATTAATACCAAATATGTCATAGATGGAAACGAATAACAAAATATTATTTACTTTAACGGATGTTAAATTTAAATGTATTTATTTGATATTAATCTTTATAATATATTATAATAATTGTTATATAATTATTACTATTGATATTTTAGTACCTAATAAAATTATTGTTAGTTTTGATGACTCTATTATACATATTTTGTGCATGCTAATTGCAATTCTTATTCAAATAATTAGTAATATTTAATATGTAGTTAATAACAACGAATGCAAATAAAATGATAAAATACGATGCGATTACGATATTAAGGTATGACTAATTAAAACATTTCTTAAAACTTCAATCATTTGACGACTTTACATTACAAAATTAATTTGTAGAAAAACGACTGAGAAGAATATTGCAACATTTCATGGTTCCGAAAGATAAAACTATATTGAACATTCTGTGTAACTTCTATTCTCGATATACTATATTTCAAAGTAACTAAAAAATAATCAGTAATCAGTACTATAAATACGTGATGTACTCATAAAGCTAAGTTATACAGTTCAGGACATAATTCCACACACAGTAGAAATATAAAAAGAAAATATCAATTGAACAAAATATAGAAACAAATATAACTTCACTCTTTCTTAAGTCTATATTAATCAAATTGACCATTGGATACTTTCTTGTATAATGGAAAGTTTCATATGAATTCTGTATAATGAAGATTTTTTTTCGTAATTTAGAATTAATTCATTAGAGTTGAAACTAAATTGGTGCCAATTTTGCTTTCGTACAAACATTGCACAATATACCAAGTAAAAAGCTTTGTTAAAATGATCGATCAGGAAATATATATAACGAAATACTACTACTACTCTGTCTATCTGGACTTTATCCAAGTATTCGATGCAGTATTTTATACTAGATAAAAAATTTGATAGCAATATAATAGTTTTTTTTTTCAGTTTAAAATATAAGATGAATTACAGCCAACACAGTTGAATGAGTTATGTCCTTTTTGTGCGGTTTATTTTATTTAGTTCCTCGATTAGTCCGGCTACAAACAGTTCGATATATTGGAACACATTACGCAAGTTATTGTTGTACTTATAATGAACAATAGGATAATTGAAACATTAGACTATTACAAAAATATCTCTGGATGAAAAGTATGTAGAATTTAAAAATGGTTTAGATCATGTAAACCAAGTTGAAGAATTATTTAAAAAGGGTCGATAAGATGGATTTTTTGTTTTAGTTACCTTTTTCTTAAAATATACATAATAGGAAGCGATAGCTAAAAGAAGATTAATTAACTTGAAAGATTGGTACATCTTTATATAATATTAATTTAGAAAGACCAAGCAATCTGGACCAACGACATTCAATTATGAAGTTCTGCCAGCAAATGTAACATCCAATTTATATACAGAATTAAAATTGTAAGTTCTTTTCAGTTCATTAAATTTAAATTTTTCGATCCTTGATTTAGTATGCGTTTTCTTATTTGTGTTACTGAATAAATGTAAATAATATGTTAAAAAAAGTAGAATGTAAAGTTGATGGCAATTTCGAGAATTTCAATAACCATAAATCAGACATTAGTTCCTGCGAAGCGAGGCAAAATATTAAAATGGGACTCGTGGAATTGACGTGTTCACCCTGAAAAACGATCAATCATGTGCCTTTAATCGTTACAAAACGGCCGGATCCGGCAGTAACCGGAGACGTTATCCCAAAATCTCGCCCATTAAGTCTGATTGTTGTTAGCACGCGTTCCGTGCCGGTTTCGAGTTTCCTTTCGTTTACGATGGCGCGATAATAAAAACCTAACTGACGTGCGGTATTAATTATTGAGAGGAACTTTATTTTCGCCCACTACCCTTCTACATTCATCTCCAATTCAATGAGGATCGGGAAAAGGGGAAAGGAACGAGTGTTTGAATATTTTACCGTTCTCCGACCCTTTCGATTAATTCGCTTTCTATTTATATCGGTATTCGATTGGGCTACGTACGTAATTCATGTGGGTTGCGATCGATGCGACGAAGAATCGGCGCGGGTTTGTTGTGCTTTTCTTCTTTTATTTTTTCGTCTTGTTTTTATTATCTTCTTTTTTTGGGTATATGTGCACGATAGATATTGTAAGGGAAATGAGATGGAATCGTGCCAAGTCTGCTCACCCAGTCGTCATTTCGAAGAGGAGATAACCGAAGGCTAAACATTCATCGACGGCAGGCGGCTTCGGCGGAAGACCTAGAAGCGGATTCTCGATGGCAGCGATTCGGGCCACGCCGTTTTGGATGATTACGTTTCCGGAATGCAGATGGTAGAATTTTGGGTAGTTTCTGTTCTGGAGGAAGAGCAGAGCCTCGAGGATTTGCCTACCCAGGCACTGGACCTTTTGGTAGCACACGGGATTAGTTAATCAATGGATTGGATTTGTTGGTAGCTCACCTGTCGGTAGGGGAGACCCTGACCTTTACCGCTGTACTTCCTGCCGTGGTCCTCTTGCCAGTTTTCACCGTAGATGAGGTCTTTGAGGCTACCGCTGTAGTTGAGAGGACAAATAAAGGCAGCCCCTATATCCCAGAACTCCACGTCCAGAATGGGATGGATGTACGGATGTTGCAGCGACCGGAACAGTTCCAACATAGTTTCTCTCGTAGTCGCAGTCGTCTGCAATGGACACTGTTGAGGCACCTCCACCAAACTCAAAAGACGTTCTGCTCCCAACGATTTATCCTTTATAACAAACCTTACGAACATAACACACATTTATGTAAATAATGGTTTATATTTATTTACTAAAAAATAATTAATTGATGTTATGCATTTAGGAAAATCATCATACTTTAAATTGCATCAAAATATTTTCTCATAAAATTTCTCTTTACTTCTAGTAAAATTTTATATATCATATTTCTATAAATTTATTAAGATTAATTAGGGCTGAAAACGCCTTTTATGAACGTTTTTTTTACTATAATTTCAACAATAAATATGTTTTTATGATTACAATCAACGTTATTATTATAATTAATAAGTGAATTTTTAGATAATATTCTTCAATTCTGGAACTCATAATCATTGAAAGAGTAATCACAATTTTTATTATGCAAATATATATAATATGACAATTTTATGTAATATTCATAAGCATTTAATGTTGTCTATTAGGATAACTATTGAATGTATTAGTATTTTCACAAATAAAGTACTTGCCGAGTACTTGTATAAGTTACACATCGAGTATGGCGTAATTTAATTAAAGTTTTTTTAACTAAGATCACGTGTCACACATTAATTGCTCAAAAGACGCCACAAAATATCTTTGTATTTACTCAGTTCAAGTACTTGATAAGTAACATGTAATGTATTATATAATTATATGAATACTTTGACAATACTGTAATTTTACAATATGATTTCGTTATAATTGCATAACACGGTGTATTTTACACATAATACGGTAAAAGACTTAAAGTTTGGGAAACTTCCGAGTTCAATTCACTGGGTCTCAGGCGGAATAGAATTTGTAGTTTACTTAGTGTAATTTTAACAAAAAATCATGTTCATATCATAATTATAATTTTTCTTTCATACTTGTTTAAACAGTTGGCAATAATAGCTGTCACATTTATATGTATATATAATGTTTATATACTGATACGTAAATATATATCGATCGAATTTTCTATTATAATTGTATAAGAAGGAAATGTAGGTAATTGTATTTACCAGTGTTTATCTGGACGTGACCCCATCATACCGAGCCGCCTCTGCAGTTCGTACCTTCCGCCGTACTCGAGGTACTGTTGACATGATGTATATGTGGCGTCTTGCAGTTGGATTTGTTGATGTCTGTCGTTGCTGTTCTTTTCGCTTCCGTTCTCGAGCCGGAGGGCGCTGTACTCGTGTCGAGGCATACTCGTCGACCTGAGAACACACGAGATAACAATGGTACAAATGCTTGCATGTCAATTTAGAGCCGGGATATGTCAATGGTCAATGGCCACTTGATCGCTGCACGCTAATCGACAACCTTCAGAAACTCACGCAAAGCCGCCTGTGAACTATTTCTAGACACAAGGAGAGACCTCAAGTGGCTATTAATGGATCATCAATGTGTATTTCGATCAAAAAGCAAATTATATATATATACACACATATTAAAGATTATTTGTATCAGTCTTTAAATCGATATGTCTATATTTATATACATTGTATACCCGGCGATTCCACCACAACTAACTAATACGTAACTATAATATTTATAGACACAATCCAAATTCATATGTTCAAGTTATAACTTAATTTTCAGTGTAGTCTCATTATCTTTAAATCTATAAGTTTGACATGTTTAAGACTTTGCAATCTCATACAATTATTAAGTAGGTTAATAGGACAAGTGAAACAAAGATTTAAACAAGTGTTTATATCTTTCTGATTTGCAATCAACACATAAATACAATTATACCTCGGTTAACGTTATCTCAAATATCGAATAGTTGATATAACAAAGTTTCTTCCAGTAAATACATCTACCCTGATTCATCAAGGAGTAATAGCATCATTTAAAGCTTATTATCTGCGTCGAACAATTTAATTGATCTAGAATAGAAATGTTTAAAATTTTTGGAAAAACACACCATTAATAATGCAATTGAAAACATTGATAATTGTTGGAAAGAAGTCTCTATGTAATGCTTAAATGGAGTTTCGCGCAAAATATGGCTGGATGTTGTACTAGAAGAAGGAATATAACATTCAAGGAATTATAATCAAAATTAAGTTAAGTGAAAAAAAAAAATTAGATGTAGAAAGATTTTTAATGGAAAGTAAAAGAAAAAAGTGCTAAAATGACAAAAAATTTTCAGTGAAAATGATCCAAATTTAGGAATTGTTAAAAGATCATGGTTGAATGTATAAGCAATTGTTAAATGAAAGAAAAAAAAGCAACAACTATCAACTTTAGACTCATATATGAAAATGTGATTTTACTGTTTTACTTTTTATTTAATACATTTCTTTGTTCTAAAAAAGCTTTATATTTTCTTAATGTATACCCCTTTTTCAGACTAAAATATATACAAAAATATTGCGTACAAAAGATTTAATGACGAAAAAATAGATCATTTATGTGTATAAAAATTAATTCTGTACAAATTTTTGAGAATTTATTTTGCTCGATAAACATATAATTTGTTTTGAATCAAACCGGACTATATTGAATCCAAATTGATCAAAACAGCAGTATGCGAGGTATTTATTGTACTTGGAATCCTTTAATGATTCAAAGTACTTGTTTTTTTCTTTACATCTTTATAGTTTTTTTACAATATAATTTACTTTTATCATATAAATATAATAAAAGTACATTTTTTCTTTCATTGCTTTATTGGCTTATTACAAGGGTGGTTTGAAAAAATCGATAAATTTTTCTAAGTTGGCATTGTAATTTATAACGATATGACTATTTAAATGACGATATCACTATTTAAATGACATATGACAAAATTTCAGCTAGATGGGTAGTAGTAAGTAGCTTTTAATCGCCATTTGAAACGACCACTTTCGCTAAAACGCACATAAAATGATACTTCAACACAGTGTTTAGTGATGATTAAGCGCAACGTGAAGGACATTCTGCAACCATTCGTGATTATGCGCAAAATTTGTAACCATTAAACCAGCTTCGTAACCGCTTTTAAAATAATGAATAATGACAGTTCAATATGAAAATAAGGTTCTAGATTAATTAAATAACCTAATATATGATTAAAAATCAATTAAGACAATTGTAAACCAAGTTTATTAAAACAAAGAATTACTTATGTTTTTAATTAGTTCATTTATATTTATATTATTGATTTATTTGATGAAAATTGAAAATATGGTATAATTTTGTTCTATTTAATAAGAGATCTTACAAATCTTTTTTAATATCAATTAGTTTAGACAAGTTTTCTCAATGTAGGAAAGGCAGGTAAACCTCCTAATAGTGTTACACCAGGGCCTCTCAACACTTTTAGTTCGAGACCTCAAAACAATGTTAATCGTGGGGCCTCACACAATGTTAGTCGAGGGCCCTCAAAGAGCGTTAGCCAAGAGAAGTCCGCTCCAAAAGTAATATTTTGCAAAACAAATAATATAGTCACGTACATAAATAGATGAATAAAATATAAACTATGCAACTTTAAAGGTGAATCATGTGCAACATTCTTGAATGAAAGATTAATTATGAGAAAATCGGAAGAAATCAATAGGTTTAATATCAAGAAAAGTTTTATTTAAATATATACTTGCCTTAATGGAATATTTTTTTTAATTAATAACAAGCAAATAGATAGTGTAAAACAAATAATGTTAATGGCAAGAGTGATCTGAATCATTTATGGTGTAAATTCAATAAATTAATCTATTAAATACTAGAAATGATCAACAGGTAAATTGATTGCTTTCTCACATTAATTATTCAATTACTGCGAATAAAGCCTTGCTAACAGCTGTAAATACAAATAATAAATTAGGAGTCCCTTCATCTGGACTAGGTAGAGCGTGTAAAGCACGACACGTTTTCGGATACTATACACACTCTGACATACACTAAATATATAATTCCCACGAAGATTATATAACATTAATTGTTGTCATATTATAAATGATAAATTATTAAATAAGTCACTGTTGTTATTGTAGTGTATTTAGTTCAATGAGATGACAAATCTAACCCAAATTTATAATTCCACTTATAGTAACTTAAGTAAAAAGTTTTCTATCTACTAAAAAACGATATTTTTTTTTATACAAAAATAATGTTGTTTACAATTTTTTAATATTTTTACTTATTTTTTTATTTAGCTCAATTCAAATTTAGATTGTTTTATATACCGAACTATAGTGAATGCGAACTGATAGAAGCTACACCTTGCAAGGTATTACTGTATTACAAAGGATTTTTTTGTAGGGTGACATATAGATAGGCGCCTCTATCAAAAAATATTATTTTTAGGAAGTACCAACCTTCAGAAGCCTCCTGTCAAAATTTCATGGCAATCTGACGTTTAGTTCACAAGTTACAGTGGTTTTACTGACGCTACTTTTGTAATTTTCAAAACAATGGAAAAATATGAATTTCGTGTATTGATAAAACAGTGCTTTTTAATGGAAAAAAATACCGTATAAGCAAAGCAATGGCTTGATAAGTGTTATGGGGACTCTTCTCCGTCGAGACAAATGATAGAGACGTGATTTGCTGATTTTAAACGCGGTCGTACAGACAAATGCCAATTGTTGCAGAAAACATAAAAATGTCCACAAAATGATTTTGGCCGATCGTAAATGACACCCTGAAGATTTCAGAAGGCTGTAAATTCATCATTTTGCATGAAAATTTGATCATGAGAAAGTTCTGTTCGATATGGGTACCACGTTCAATATCAAAGTGGACCAAAAACAACGAGTTTTGGTCCACAAATTTGGAGCTGTTCAAGCGAAATAAAAAGGAATTTTTCATGCGGTATGTAAGAATGGATGAAACCTGGATCCATCACTACACACAAGAGTCAAATCGGTAGTCAACTGAGTGGACAGTAAAGAGTGAAAGCCGTATTTTAAATCGTTCTACAAGAAAAGTACCGAAATGTTAGAGAAGCGATAGAATGAATGTATCACTATTGAAGGACTATGACTATAATAAAGTTGAATATTGCCCAAAAGTTGAGGTTTTATTAGTCATCCTACGACAACCAGAGCAACGCTCTTCAACCATATTATACCTGCGGACCTTCAAAAACCTAATTCATGAAGCCGTGGACCGGCATATTAGAAAAAAGTGGGTTAACAAAAAGTTATTTCTTTATTAGTTTGTCAGATTACCATTTATTTCGAAGAATGCAAAATTCGTTGAACTTTGAACTAATTTTGATGAAAACATCTTTAGCTGAAACATGGAAACGTGACTTATCAAGGATTTATTTCTGTATTAGTTTCTTGACTACTTTTATCTACTTTTATCAGCGGTTCCCAAACTTTTAAACATTGCGACCTAGTTTTTCTATCTATAGCGACCTCTTCATAAATATTAAGTGAGGGGAAGGGAAAGTACTTGAAAAAAATATTTGCACCACTTCACATTTTCATAACCGACCCCAGCCATGCTACTAGAATTTTACATATCTTTTTTTTTCTAATCAATTAAAAAATAATAAGTGCGGGAATACCTCGCATATTATAGCTTCGATTAGTCCAGTTTGAAAATTTCAAAACAAACTTAATATTAATAAAGAAAATAAAACTAAATTCTAATACAGTTCTCGATTAGTCCGCTTTCAAATAATCCTGCATATTGACGAAACCCATAAGCAGTATGGTAATCGACAATGCTTCTCCAAGTGGTTAACTATAACTACAAATAGATGATCCTGTCAATCGCATCCCGTGGGTCCTTGTTTACACCCATTAAATCCATATAAACAGTTATGCAATTCAAATGTTCGAGTCGGGAATGATTGTACGTGGGTGAACAGTAATTAGGTCGGATAAGTTCTGCAGAGTATCGATCAATATTAACATGTGCTACCCGGCGCATCCACCACAATTCACGCGAAAGTACACTAAAACTGTTGGAATTTATATATACAACTATATATTTTCAATGCAAAGTAGAATCGTGTTGTTTGGAAATTCGCGAAGTACGGCAACTGTTTCGAGGAAGGCAAAACATGTTAACCCGATAATTTGCACTCGACGTCGTTTTTCGCTCCGCGAATTTTGTAGCCCAAGGGCTCCACGTATTGTCGCTTGGGTTTATTCGTTGTGTGCACGTGGAAAATGATATTCTATTTACGTGCAGGAAATGAGATCTGTCGTTTTTTTTTTTCGGAGTTTGAAAATTACATTTACTATCAGAAGCTGCGCATCGCGTCGTCCTTTTTGTACTGTTAATCGATTTTATATTAGTGTATAGGAAAAAATATGATGGGTTAATTGTCGTTTCGTTATTTATGATTACTACTTGTTTAACTTGTTGCCTGATTATTAGCTTCATAAATTATTAATTTGTTATTTAGGTTAGAATACTAACAAAGATATATTTGATCTTTTATACTTCATATAATAGAGTACAGGGTTTAATAGAATAACAGTATTAAATTGTGGTATAAACTGATTTTTGGTATTTTTTTTGTTTAAGCAAGGCATAAAGTATAATATTTTGGGATTACAGCAATCACTACACTATTACACTACACTACAAATTAAATATAGTTTAAAAATTTCAAAATAAACTAAACTTTAATTGATGGATACAAATAAATTCTAAAAAAAGTGTTTTGTATACATAAATAATGTGTTTTTTTTTCATCTGTAAAGACAACTCTATTTTTATGCGGTTTTAAAGTCCTCGATTAATTCGGTTTTAAACAATTTAAGACAGCAGTTCTCAAACTTTTATATATTGCAACCCACTTTTAGAAATCCTATGTATGGCATTTTTTATTTTCGCCATATCTTATGAATTTTGATATTTAAATCATAAGAATATAAATTCTAAGATCTTTTCGCAGTTAGGGAAGCACTGGTTTAGAATATTGGCGGAAACGATTACCCGAACTATATGAGATATTGCTGTATTTCCTTCGAAAACAGAAGCATTAATCTATGAGGATACATATAAAGTTTGTGATAAGATCACTCAAATAAAGTAAAATGTTCATCTGGGATAACACAAACATTATTATAATTAAATTTTGTTAGTGAATAGCTTAAATAAAGTATTATTAATCTGTAATGCAAACAGAAAATTAATGAGAAAACCATTTAATAAATTTACATAATTCAGATCATATTTTTGGAGAAATCAATGTATTCGCATATTAGATATAGATTACTAACAAACAATTTGTAAATTACGACATATGTTTAGAGTGACCAAAAAGGATTGGCGAAGAGATTACATAAATAAATTATAAAGTATATAATATTAACAAAAGCATTAGATATGAGTACATAATGAACGTTTGTTATAGGATCACTTAAGTAGAGTACATGCTAAGTAGGATAAGAGCATTAGCTACGGCTACAAACTGAGAATTTGTGAAAATATTCATGAATGAAAGTAGATTGCACACATTAAATTATTAATTACATTACAAGCTGTAGGTTGATTAGAATGTCAATGAATCAAAATTTAAAGTATATATCATACAGAAATATACAAAATGTAGTATATACATAAATAAATAGTTTAGAAATGTAGGTTAGAACAAAGTTTCTCAATTAAAATTGGGTCGCGTTAAATTCTTAATAGCGAAATGTCAGTTGTCACCATGTGTCAAAGCGAGAGACTAGAGAAATATACTTAGTAATTGGATTGCTGTATAACTACAAGCAAATTTGTTGAGTCACGCGGCAAAAAAGTTGAGAAACGCTGAAAAAATATATAAAGAAAATCATGCATTGATAGAATAAGAGAATTAGTTTCCACGAAACAGTAAAACTCGGTGAGATTATTCCTAAGCCATAGTTGAGAAATTATAAATTTAATGAGAAAATTATAAATAAAGTTCCTTGAAAAGAAGAACAGTAGTTTGAAGTTCAAATTTGAAATTGTGCACTTAATAAATTTACGACAAACAGTCAATTGGCGAAAGCACTGTGTGAACTAAATATAAAGCTAGTATATGCTTTTTTATACAATAAAAACAATCAAACAATTGCTTTTGTTTCGATATACACTCGATATATTCTATTTAACAGTCGACGTTAGTTTTGGATACCCGAAGCTTCGAAGCATGATTTTCGTTATTCTACCCTTTACGTTATTATCACTACGTGTGGATCCCTATTTTTTTAACTGACCCTTGGGTAAGATTAATATCTAAGTTGCGTTTATTTATTTGCTTTTTTATAATTATTACTTTTAATATATGTTGTAATCCTGTTTTTGTGCCTAATACTGAGTGCGAGTATGATGTGATCACTACCTAGTCTTCATCAGGAAAACTTTCTGCAAGTTCACCCATTTGCTGGGTGGCGATTCAATACTGCTGCTTCTGCCGATGGACATCTGACGAGCCAATCTGAGTTCGCTACTGTTGAAATTATTCTCGCTTTGTACCCTCCGATTGCAAGTCTTTTTGCGCCTCGACCTAGATCTCTCCTGGTAAAAGCGATCGTGTCCGATCTTCTTATCCTGATCCTTTCCATCTTCATCTTTGTTTCTGTTTTGCGGCTTGTACAAGTTGATCATTCTCAACACATACACCGATTAATTCTTGCACAACAATTTATGAGTTAAGAACTGTTAATCAGCGAACCGACACGCGTATCACCTTCGTCGAGTAAACTGTACTGGTCACGATATGCAGCGCTTTCCAAATCCTGTTAGACGTTCCATTTTGAAACCATCGATTCTAAGCCACATTGTTTCTAGGGATTCGTATTATTAGAGACCGTTGTCCAAGAAATCTGCTTTTGCTAATTGAATTTGATTTAATTGGTATTAAGTGATTCGATAAAGTTCCACTTATTGGATCAAGCATTGAATGTAGGTTAGATTCGTCATAACTCTCCAAGCGTATATTAAATGTACGTAAGAATAATATAGCTCATAATGTCAACATATGTATGTTAAATAATTGGATATTTATATAAACGATAACTTACTTGCATTTTTTGATCCAGAAGGCTGCTGCCGCCAAAATCCCAAGGCCAAAGATTATGCAGGATGCTAGGACCTACAAATAAAGTAACAAATTGATAATTAATTTTCGTAGAATATGTAATTGTAATAGCTTTGAAAGTTATTTAGAGGGCATATGTTTAGTTTCAATTTGGTTACGTATAAAATGGTTAGTTTTAGTAGATATATGTTATATAAGTTTGTTAAATACCTTTTGACGTAATAAAATTGACATGGTTCAGTTTTCATGTCAGCATTAGATTTAATATAGTTAGGTACAATTTTGGAGTCATCATATGTTGAGCTTCTACACATCTAAATCTGCTTATTTATGATTTTTGACGTTAGATTATACTTGTTTATTGATATCAACGCAACTGATATCTTTTGTTACATATATGATTTGTTTTTGTTACATAATCTTGATTAACATTTACATAACAATTTGGTACTGGGGGAAAAATGTGTTTGGTTTTCTATAGTATGGTGAAGTTTCATATATTTAAATTTGTTAAAGTTAGGTTTGCTACTGTCAAGTTTGGTTTTGTTTAGAGTTTGGTTTGTTATTATCAAATTTAGAATGATTAGGATTGACATGGTGTTATATATCAGCGTTTCTGAACCTTTTTGCCGTGCAACTCATGTATGTAGTGACCCAATCTATAACATTTTTTTCACCAGTTCCTCGCTTTGACATAAGGTGACAGCTGTCATTTTGAGACCCATTATAGAACGCGGTTATATATTATGGTTCAGTATAGTTTATATTGTCAAGTTTGCTTCATATGACAGAAGCATTAGGTTTGCCATCGTCAGATTAAGGTTATGTTTAATATGGTTTTGTTTAGTATCGTTAGGTATGTTTACATTTATCATAATTACCTTTGGTATACAGAATTAAAAAAATGTTCATGGAATCAACTTCATTATCTTCTCCAGAGGTTTAGTAAGATCAAAAAGAAACAAAGATATAAAAATCTAATTAAAACATGAGTCACCCTTAATTAACGAGTTCCGTTATATAATTTCCCGATTGGGAGCGGGCTTTTGTGCATATTTTCCTACCAACTGTAAGTTTAATTACATTCCCTCAATTCCCCTCTTGTTTTAGCTAATGGCCATGTAAGCATTTTATTTGTTGTTTATTTTGTACATTATTTTATTTCTGACAGTGACGCAACGAGGTGAGGAAACTAAGAATTACGATGACGAAGTGAATTCCTTTCGTGCATTTTAATTTCCACCGGTTGATTCATGGGGTTGGGAAAGTTGCGAGTTTGGTTGTAGGTTCTGTGCGCCATTAATTTTGATGAATTACGGAGGCCACGGTTCCGCCGAAATTCGTATAATGTAATTTACTGCGCGATGTTCACTCTTTTTTTTTTCGTTTGCCTGTTTATCCTCAAGGGTGTTCCTTCTGCTGCCGAAACCGTGTGATTCGGATCGCTTGCAAATTGATTCATTAAATTTAGATTCTGTCGATTATTAAGCTTGAACATGCACTCAAAACGTGCGAAGGGTCACTAATTTGCTAAATCACTTAGAAAGGCAGCTAACTTGTAATTAGATTGTTAAAGTTGAACGCTCAATCAAATGTTAAATATGTTTTCAGTCATCAATATTGATTCGTATTTCTTATGCGAAATGCGTTTGTGGTGTGAAATTTAGATTCAAATATAAAGAAATTTTTTTCCGTCCGTTTTCAAATTAAAGCAAAAATAATCCTCACACACGACGAAATTCCTTTTGTGTAGAGGGTGGGAATGGCCCTGAATTATAAAACGCAATTAAATTTACTGAGGCTTAATTATTTTCTAAGAAAACTTTTCCACTTAAAATTCGAAGAAATTTATTTTTTTATTGACGACGTAAATTACAATATGAAGATTTAGATCTAAATATAATTGCGTATACATTATGCTTGAAAACTTTTACAAGTGCATGTAATCAGTTTGACTAATCGAGGACTTTAAAACCGTATAGAAAAATAATTTTATGTACTATTTCTTCTTAATTTATTTTGATTTTGCTCAATTAATATTTAGTTTATTTTGAAATTTTCATACTGGACTATAGTGAATCCGGACAAATCGAAGTCGCAATATGCGAGGTATTGCTGTACTTATAGTTGTGTACAAATGTAACATATTCTTGCCTACATATTTTCATGCGTGCTACACGACTCTTGACAAGTAAAATATAAAAATGCCATGAATTTTATAAACATTAAGCAATCTGTAAAAGTAAGCTTAACTGTGAAATAATGCGTTTTGGTTTCGAATGTGTAATTGAGCAGAAAATGGTATTGTCAAATATATAAAGCTACTGACAAATAAACGATCCAATCTTCTTTGCACGAATGCGCTTTGGGCTTTCACTGGCATTAAACAATTGACTCTCGTCCAAAGGATTAAAAGAGCCAACAAACTGTTGAACAATACCCTTTGCAATTAAGAACGAGCGATTATAATCAAAAGCTTAAGAAGATGAGAGAAATTGAAAGTTAAAATTTTATACCATAAAACTACATTAGTATTCTTTAAAGATTCTTCACTTTCATACATATTGATTTAAATTATGTAAATAAAAATCTACTGATTTAATCCAAATTAGGTCGAAGTTATTTTTGTTGAAATAAAATAAATAATTCATATAATAAATATCATAGATTGATTTTGGTTAAACTTGTTTGATGAAAATTTTAGTTTAAACATTGAAATATTTTAGATAGATTTTTTGATATTGTTATCAAGAAAATATACAGCATTAAATTATACTAATTAACGTTTAATTTATAATAATTATTATTATATGATAAATAATGAATCATTAATTATCGTATATATAGATGAGTTTGGATTAACTAATTATAGTAATAGAAGAACAGCGTTACTAAGTTTCATTTAATACTATGTTATAGTATTAAAATTGAATTTTTAATTCATGCAAATTTAAAATTCATGTATACATTTTATCTCGCAGAAAATATCATTAATAAAGGCATTGTAATCGTTTTATTACGTAGATCCTTTTCATGTTGTAAATTGAAATTGATGATTCTGATTAATCCGAATTACTTTTGGGAGTCAATTATTACGAGATTGATGGAGAACCATATGGAAAAAATATAAATATAAAATTAATAATCTAAACTTGAAAAAAAAAATCATTGGCAAATAATAGTTCCACTAGTAAATGTAGTTGAAAAAAATGTATTATCATTCGAATATACAAGAAATTGATATTACATATGGATTTTCATTAGAATTTAAATATAAAATCAAGTATGTAAATCTTTAATGATTTTTTTTTGAACAAAATGCAGTTTTAAGTAAACCACATAGTAACCAAATAATTAATGTAAAATTGACATGTTACTAATCCTGTTTAATTTCAAGCAAGACAAATGTTAAATTATGTATCAGTGTGTGAATAACTTGATGCATATAGTCTTTCAGATTGTCGGTAAGTTTACGATGAAATACCTATTTATTTTCCAATTTAGAAGAAACTGCGTGCATTATATGAAAAGAAAAACTTTACACATGCTAGTAAATTTGCATTTCCGTTTTTCGATTAAATCGTCGTTCTTGGAAGTTATTTGCAATTATTTTTTTTAAAGTTTGCATTTCAAGTAGACACGTCGACAACAACAAATACTATCCAAAGTTGTTTGTTGTTAACTCTGTCTTTAGTCATGCAGTGCAGTGGGGGTATAATCTCTTCTTACCCAGGGATGCGCAGGATGCTTGTGGACGGTCGAATTTTGTGGCACTTTCATCGCTCTCTGGGTCTACCAGAGCATCGTTGCTGGTACCAAAAAATTGTTTTTTTAAAGAGTTGTTTCGAATTGCAGAGTTTTCCTTGATGCTAGAACAGATTTCTTTGAGCTTTCCATTCCACGGCGGACCGACCGAACTGCGCTCCAGCTGGAAGCGCATTGGCGATGAGCCCGCTCCAGTCGATAAACAAGGGTGCTACGCTTGCGCCCCTGTCCCACCCCCGTACCGAATGCAGCACCACCGACCGTCCGACGCGTCCCTATCCGATTGCCATTGAACTTGGAACAACAAAGGCCATCACAATCGGTGAACAACTAAAAAAAAATAGCACTAATTAACCAATGGCAAACCGATTTCATTTGAACGAGAGACGCAAATCAATTTAATTAGCTGCGGTATTTCAATCCATTACTTACGCAACACGGAATTTCGAGAGGATCCGCAAAATAATCAACTACCAACATCTTTCAAACGATCGATGATTCTATTAGGATTTGTGATAAATTGGGAGCTGACGTCTATGATGATGTACGTTCTTGATACAGGCAACTTGAATGTATGCGGGATGGGATGGATGGATGGGTATGCATCTAAGAATACGGCGCATATAAATTGGCCTCGTTATTTTGTTATGAATATTTCATGCGCAACTGAACTACTACTTTTCCTCGCAGATTCTTCCAACGCTAAGATATTTGATGTTTGGCATCTTTACAAAAGTTAAGCTACGTGTGTTTTTGATAGTTGACTCTTCACCTACACGAAATCAATAGAATATCAATTTAGTGTTGACGATTGAATTGTAAATCAGAAACGAAATTCCCTAACAAAAAACAAATGGTTCTAAAAAAAATGCAAATACACTCATTTCTCGTGCTGTTTGAAACCGGACTAATTGAGAACAGTAAAATATAATTTAGTTAGATATGAAATTTTGAGACCATTTTATAGTGAATCGAATCTGCAATATGCGAAGTATTGCTGCATTTTTTTTGTCTATAAAAAATTACAAAAGGAAAATAAGATACAAATTAGTTTTCTTATATTTATATTTCGTTTGTTGTAGTTGGCGTTTAATTAAAACTTATCTGGATGGAATTAACTTTGTCGCATGATTTCGAGCAGCGTGTAAACTGTAATTGGAAAACTTAAATGCAGTAAATGTTAGTTAGGATGATAAACTTTTAAGAAAGTCAATAAATGCTTGATGTAATAACAAAACGAAAACCAAATTTAAATATTTTTTAGTATGTACTAGATGTCATAAAATGTATTCACTTTTTTTCTGTTAATTATATCTGTTGAATCGTATAAATCAGTGATTCCCAAAGTGGTCTATATCAACCCCCAGGGGTCTATGACAACCTGCAAGGGGTCTACGTCTGCGAAAAAACAATTTGGGGGTCCATGAAATGAAAATGGTACATACACTGATAGTACCTATTTACTTACATTATACTATCTTATATTCGCTTTGTTGTCGCAATACATTTTGAACTTGTAAAAACCTGCACATAATGATATACCAGTATCATCTTGTTACAAGCATACGTGTAGTCTCAGAGCAAAGATCTTAATAATTATAAAGATGTCCCAATATAAATAATAAATTTACAAAAAATCAATATCAGGTAAGTAGGGGTCTACCCAAAACCGAAAAACATGGCAAGGGGTCTACGACACAAAAAAGTTTGGGAACCTCTGGTATAAATCATCCAATTACAACTAGAAGGTCTGTTGCCTTAAAATTTAATAATTATTAATTTTTGTTTATTAAAAGTCTACTACTACAAGAGCATAAAATGTACATAGTTGATTGCTATGTTGGAAGGTTGGTATCCTAGTAGAGTAAATTTATGTTAAAAGTTATAACAAAAAATGGAAATATTGTTTGTTGAAACTTTTATATTTCATCATACTAAAGAACGTTTGAGCCAAATGCCATACTCTGTCTATCCGACTAAATAATATATATTAATTTCAGTGAGAAACAGGAGTGGTGATATGTCTCATATTTTCAATCGAAAATAATAGGAGATCAGAAAATGAAAGTAGAAGAAAGTAGCAGAAAACTTTATTTTGATACTGGGTATCGCCCTGGATTTCCCGTATATGGCCAAGAATTTGTATGAAAAAAAAATTGAAAACTATATATTTTACTATGAACAATAACATTCTATTGAGTGTGTGTATTATGCGTAAAATTTTAATGTGTATTCTGTGTTATAGTAGTTTTATTATTAAAGGAGTTGTATAAAATATGAAAATATATTATTTAAAATGTAATTAAATTTTTTATTATTTTCTCTTTATTCTGTATATTAATATTATAATATGAATTTTAGTTCACTTATTTAATGTTTGTTAAACTTTTTTCTTACAATTAACTTTTTAATTGAATTCTAAGAAAATGAATTTTAAATTTCATGATTCATGGGAACAAAAACTATATAATATTTAAACAACATCTACATTTGAAATGTCTAAATTGTAGTGTTGTATGTTGTGTTGCATACTTCTGCCATGCATTTCCGTAAACTTCGGCATTTAAATTCAAAGAGGTGGTTCTAATCAAAATCTCGACAGTATCAAAATCCTGATCATTTTAGCGGATTTTGGCAATTCTTTCTCTTTTCTTAATTAACTAGATAGTTTTAATTTAGCGTAGGTATAAAACACAGGTTTTACCCTAAACAATAGAATATCGATGTTCTTTTGTAGTAAGTAAAATGAGCGTTTTTACTTATAGTTAAAAAAAAAATTAGTGTTGAAACTACGTCATTATAATAACTCTGTGTCTACGTTAAAATATATAAGTTTTAACTATTCCTCAATATTTGCAAAAAATAATATTTCTGAAATAGTGCTAATACAAATTCCACCGAGATATCAAATGTCGGGATTTTCAGTGTTGGGATTATGGTTATGGATTTCGATATAGACCCTCCAAGAAGATATCGAATTATTGGGCTTTTAAGTATGAAGTGTCCGATTACCTCAAGTACCAAGTTTTATAACCGATATCTCTGACATTTTACTTTAATTGTTCTTTGATTTTATTGTAATGGTACGGGCGTAATTGGGCACGTTTTGGTTTGTGATTAACTGTCGAATTTCATTTTGCAGATTACATTTAGTAAACTATAGATAAGTTAAATATTCGCGTTATTTTTGAATATGAATTCCACTGTGGCAGACAACTTGAAGTGTCAACGAAGTGTTTGGTAACGATGTGGCTAATGAACGCACGGTTCCAGAAGTTTCGATCTGGCGATTTTTATCTTCAGAATGAACCACGTCGGCGACCTAAGAGCAAGATGGATCAGAATAAGCTGAAAAAGGCAGTTAAAGCGGATATATTTTAATACTTTGATCAGCATGATCCACCGGTGGGTCATACATTTTCTATAATAGATTTATCGCTATGCACTGAGTTTGACCGAGTATTACCTAAAATATCTTACGTCAATTACAAAATTTAAACGCCAATACATTTCTTATATATATTTTAATAATTCTTGAAGCAATTTAGAATAATACGTGATATAGAATTATACTTTACAAAATTAATTACGAGACACATTTCTCACAATTGTTATAATAGACAGATTATTAAAATTATTCAAAAATGACCATATGAATTAAAGAAGCGTCAGAAGAGAAAACGTTGCAAATAAAAATAGTTGATATAAAAACAAAACTAATAATACGAAAATATGATAATCCCGTTTATATTTACTTTTATAAATCAAAATTATGATTCTACAAGAATTCAAAAATTGCGCGGAGCCAAAGAAACATTTTTAATTAAATTATTTATAGAATTAGAAGTTTTCTTAAATATTTTTTATCTTTTGTTGGATTGGATGTAGCTAACATGTTTTGCCTTAAATTAAAAATGACATTTGAATATTCTAATACTTATATGCAGAACAAATGATTTAGCAAGAAAACTTAAATCTTAAGAATGTTAATAAATAGTCAATGAAATATAAATTTAATTAACTTAATAGGATTAGTTAATGGTTCAGTATTTCATAAAAATAATAAAACTTTGAAAGAACTGAAGCTGACGAGCACCAGGTCTAAACAACAAAATTAAAAAGTTGAAAAAATCAACTATAAGTACATTATTTTCATGATACAAGCTTTCATGATGTATTAATTTATCGATATTAATAATAATCGAGATTTGAATTATGCAATTATAATTAATTTTTACTTCGTAAATCAATAGCCATTTTTAATAACGATCAGAGACATAAATGAAATGAGTTCAAATTAAACGTAATTTTCAAACATCGTATTTTGTGTTGTCTATATCTTAAGCGAGGGGTCTATATCACAAGCCCGACAACCGAAATCCTGACAACCGAAATCCCGTCTATCGAAATCCCGACGTTCGAAATCCCGAGTGTATTGAAATTCCGACGTTCGAAATCCCGAGTGTATCGAAATCCCGACTACCATAATCCCGACTGTATCAAAATCCCGAAAATATCGAAATCCCGACAGTCTTTTATCATTATAATTTCTACAATAACATTTTTAAATTATTGTACTATATTTTAATAGGTACGACGGATACTGAAAAAAATATTTTTAAGA